TAACGTATTTCACTAGCGAGCCGCCATCACAAACGAGCCGCCACTTCTGCTTCAACTCCTGATCACGGGCTAAATATTAGAGACTTTATTAACCAAAAAATTGCATTTCTATAGAAAATCTAATTACTAAGTGGATTAGGACATCTAACTCTAGTATGACCCCGAATATGACAATTAGAACACTGCGGTGGCGCTCGTACACGCGGCCTAACTGCAGAAAGCACTGGATCTATAGAAAGTGTATCTTGAGCTTCATCAATCTTATTCTCACGCTGAAATTGCTCTAGGCCATTCTCTATAGCTGATCCCTCTGCAATAGCTAGCCGTCTATTAGAGCGCTTTTGCTTTTGGCTTTGCCACTCATTATCAGCGCGGTATTTGTGTATTTCTTCGCGCGCAAGAACAAGCTCATTTAGAGTTAATTCATGACCTTTAATAATCTTGTCTAATCATGTCTCAAGCAAAGATGAAGGGCTTTGAGCATGTTCTCTAAGCAGTTTTCTTGCTGCAGATGCCTGCTTCTCCAGCTGCCTAGTAGTGTAGGGTGTTTTAGGCGCTGAATTAGTTGACCGACTGCCTGGTGGTGTAGGGGTCTTTAGTTGGATATCCAACTTACTGAGTACCCTATCTGGATCAAGCGGAACTAGGCCAGTGCCTGTAAAGCTATTCTGAATATTCTCTGCTGTAAAAGCGCTTTTGCGAGCTTTTGGAAAGATTCTCAAGAAATCAAGCTTATCAATATGGCTGATTCCTAAGTGCATTTTCTGCTTCACTAAGGTACCGTACGCGCCTTTTAGAGACCGAAAACAGCCTACATCAAGAGGCTGAAGCTTATTAGAAGAGTGTGCAGGCATGCAGATAGGAATAATATTATTCTCACTGCAGATTTGGTCAAATTGAGGCGTAAGATGGCTGCCATGGCCATCCATAACTAGAAGACGGTATTTCCCAGTTATACGGCTAGTAGTCACAGGAATAAAGAGATTTTTAAGCCAGCAAAGGCCTATCTCATTAGTAGTCCATCCATTAGGACTAACTTCAATCCTGCTTTTAGGTGGGAGCTCCGATTCTTGATACCAACCCTCTATATAGACCTTTCCTTTAAAGATAATGCATGGAGGAAGTGCCCAACCAGTAGAGTTAATACATTCAATTGAAGTAACCCATTCCCGATTTCCTGGCTGTACAAGAAGCGCTTTTCCATAATAATCAGCTCTAGTAACTACTCGGGCAGCAGCTACTAGGCCCATAGCAAAGCCAGTTTCATCAAAATTATAGATATCTTCCTGCGCGATCCCATGTTGCATTATAGTGATTTGTACGCGATCAAACCACTCTTTAATAACTTTAGGATCTTCACATTTAGCGCGTCTGTAATCATATCATCGAGAATAGCAGGATTTCACTTCATCACAGCGTTTAATAAAGTTGGTAACCCAGTTTGCTCCAACTGATTGAATAGGTGTAGAACCGCGGCCAGCAAGAAGAATATTAGCCATTTCTCGTATGTCAGATGGCCTAGGGGGCGCTCCACGTCGATCTAGTGATAGAATCCATCATACAAGCGATTCCTCTTCATTTTGACTTAATTTATGATTGTTGGCGCGTGTTTCATTGCGATATTTACTACCATGAAGTCGGTCGCGTAAAGTCGAACGCGGTACATTATAGACCCGCGCAGCTTTAGCAATTTGGGTAATTTGCTTGCTTTCTATAGCGGAAATTGCTAACAGAATCCTGCCCTCTTGCTCAGCTTGATTTCTTAAATTTTGACGCGATTTTGGAGGCATGGTGGATGGTTGAATTGAACGAGGTTTTCGACCGCGGTCAAAACGCGTTGAGGTGGCGGCTCGTTTGTGATGGCGGCTCGCTAGTGAAATACGTTAATACCACTACTGTACTCATTAAACATATTTTAACCATTTTATAAGTACTTACTTAACTACTTATAATTGTTTTATCTTTTAAAAGTCATTAAAATTCTACTGAAATACTTTTTATTATATTTAAAATATATTTAATATTACTAGTAACATAAAATATAATATTTAAAATAGATAAAAAACAGTTAATATTATAAACCTCTTTATGAAGTAGTTTTTAAGTAGCCCGATGAGCGGGGGCTGTCTCACGTCAAGGCCCTCGGGATGGCAACCTAAATTCAAAGGATTGGGACGGCTTAAGCAGCGAATCCTGGTGGAAATAACCTATGTAAGGTCAGATAGCGGTTCGCTCTAGACTAACATCCGAAGATTGCCCTTACACCCCTGGTAGGTTCTCAACAGATCTAGACTCCGTAGTTAGCTGATTTATAGTCTGCGGCTGTTCAGATTCTTATGTCCCATCGTTCAAAGTATGCTTCAGATGTGGGAGTAACTAAACCACTTAAGTAAGGCTCCCAATTTGTGTTGCATAGTACCGAGACATCGGGAGCTTTACAACCCTATATGCCATTCGTGCGACCATATCCAAGGAGCTACTTCATATTGTATACGGTTCATGACGGTGGCGCGGGCCAGACTAGAGGAAGAATATCTCGATATCGCTATATTAAATGATGCTAATCCCATGAAATCTCCTAATTCATAAACCTAGCTTTGCCACCCAGTGTATATTTGATATCAAACCGGGACAGATTTAGGTCCAAGTAGTAACAGTGAAGCTGCATGGAATCTCACAGTGCTCCTCAAGGTGAATGCCCAGAAAGGTTCAACTTGTCTAAAGAGATGGTGGGCAACTCCGCCATATGGAGTGGAGTACTAGCAAAAAGAACAAACCCCGCCACGAACGGCTCACTCTCAGTAATGATTTCTTTGGGGACACCATGCGCAGCCCCATTCCTCACTGGCCATGCAATACGGATTGCCGCAATCAAGAGAACCATTGGCGGAGCGCCTTGGGCATAGATAGGGCTAGGGAGCGGACTAGCTGGATCTGTATCCTGGCTAGACCAATGGATGGCGATTTGAGAGGGATCGATAGCTACTCGCCACTCAGCCCCTTCCGCGGGGTCGAGCGTACGATCGCGAAGCTGAGGATATCTTGGATCTTCCGGCAGAGGATCCACGTTCTTTTTCCAGTGTGTTGAGGGCGTGCTGGTTTCGGTGTATTCGATATCAAGGGCGTAGAGCAATGAACCCCAGTAGATAGAGACAGCGGAGGATGATGGTCTATTTACAATCCGAATTTCTGACCAAGGTTGACGGTTAGTCGTGAAGACCCGGCTGAAACTTTGAAATGGAAGAAGTGGTCCTAGTCGCTCACCAGAGGGATTTCACACCCGTCTAGCAAGGTGGCTCGCGAGGATGCCGTCGCCCAACTAGGCAGTCGCATGTAGAAATCAAAGTCCTTTGTAGTAGTGAATGTATTTATAATTGATTATCTGACCAAACGGATAGTGAGTGTCGGCCATGATGGAAACATGACTCCTATCGAGCTCTGTGGAGATCTCGGCAGGAATGAGAAAGCGATGGATCAGCCCGTTACTGCCTTTTTGAACAAAGGCAGAGCAGATTAGCTTTGGGAGACCCTGATGGTGATTCACCAGGCAGCATGGCTGCATTGATTTCGGAAAGTCAGTCAATGAATCTAGATAGGCACATACGATCTCCCCGAGGAAAAGACAAGGCACGACATACATAGTCTGGCTCTAGCCCTAATATGTTACCGTACGGGCTCACATCACAGAAAGGTCGACCATTCAGTCGCTTGATCCACGGTTGGTTGGACTGAGTAACATACTGATGGGTCCACCAGTCCGGTGAAATGCCCCCAGGTCGGGCATTGAAAGCTGCCAGCTCTGTGCGATCAGCGTAGTCGTTGTCACCGAAGAGACGATGCAGCCAGGAGAGAGAAAACATCAACTCCACAGCCATGCACAACTCTGTACCTCGCTCTGGACTTAAGCCCCCAAGAAATTCGTCGCTCGTTATAGAGCCGGACGGGGTACCATGGTACTGAATGGCCATGTCTACAGCCTCGCGCGTTTGTCGGGCGAGCTGTTCATCGTGGTTCATCCGGTATTTCTGCGCCATATACCGCAGTCCTAGAGCAGCCATGTTACTAGGGCGTGTGCTGGACGGGATGGATGTGGTTCTTGTAAGTCACTGCCTTTACTAACCTTGGGCCACGTTTATTCCGTGCTGAAAATTATCCTGAAGTTTAATGGACGCCGAGGCAGGAAACACCCCTGGAATAAAGAATTTAGACCAGTCACGACCCACCAATCTTTGCCCCCGTCCACAACAAATCCATCGTCTCCCAGATAACTGGTTGGTCCTCCTCAGTGACATTCTCATGGAGCCACTGAAGTGTGGTGGAAAGCTCATGAGCCCGGGCTAGCCCAAACTTGAGTGGATCAAAGTGATCGCCCCCATGTGATAGGTATCCCTGATAGCTGTCCTGGATCATGCTGTGTGCCAGTCGGGTAAGCCGTAGTATAGACTTGATAATCTCGTTTCTACGGCCCGGCTCAGCCTGCGCATGTGCAACCATACCGAGTAGTAGAAGACACCGCGCCCACAGTCCTCAAGTCTCTTTGCTGGTCTCCGGTCCTAACCAGCCATCCTCGGCCTGGTGGATGAGCACGTAATCTAGAAACTGGTTAACCTGAGTTTTGAGTCGCTCATCGCCCAGAGTATATGCCAGCGGTACAAGGCCGTTATACCAGTTGGGCTCTGCTTCGTTCATCTGACTATATTCTTCCGTGCCGCCAAGCCAGGAGCTGTCCTTCACATAGCGGTAGAAATCGAACATATGACCGGCCAGTCCATGAGCAGCGAGGTGAAGCTGGTCTTTTACCCGTCCGCGTGGCTTAATCGCACCGACAGAGATCTCCTCATATTTGAACGGTACCAGGTTTGCAGGTCTCATGATGGCAGAATGGTAACTTTTCAGGTATATCTTAAAAAATTATTCGCTGACTTACTGAAATGTAGGAACTAAATACTGAGTGGGATTCCTAGGACAACTATGACCCTTTTTGGAAAAATACCTGTGGGGAACTGTCCATGTTCTTGAGAGGGTCTATCTCGAGTTCTTGATGCTTAGGTCTCTTGGAACGGAACAGGCTCCGAATGGTCAGAGAAGCCAATAACAAAGAGGAGGAGACCGGTACTCTTATTAGTAGACAGATAGGTAGAGTGGGGTGTTTCCCATTGGCTGGGCCACACTTAACGGCTGTTAATATAACCCCTGCCGATATCTAGGGCTAGTAAGGATGTGTGATAAACACTCGATCCTCGGGAAGTAATACCGGATTTCTAGATCAAGGACACCTGGGATCATATCTGGCAATTTTCCGGTATTGGGCTTCATTATTTGAGCAGACAAGGATGGGCGATACGATGATACAGATACGACGTGTCCATGTGGAGATAGCAAGTAGTACATATGTAGGGTCTGATGAGATCAGATCCCCTACTCCACCTATGCACACTGTAGTCAAGAAGGACTACTATTAAGCAACATTATCAGACTCGTCCAGCTGCTAGATAGTCATTTCCCCTGGAATAGGATACAAGTTACCCGCATTGCATAGCCTGACGCTTACGATGTTACCTGAACATAACTCCGTTTACAAGCCCGGCATGGACAAAGCGACCAAGGAAGAAGACAGCATCCAAACCAAGGAGCCGATACCTGCAGACAAGGATGAGATCGGTCATGTCGACAAGTACAAGGAGCAAGACCATAGTGCGGACTCGGAGTTGTCACGCTCACTGGAGTCTCGGCATTTGGTGATGTTCTCAGTCGGGTCGTCGATTGGGATGGCCTTGTGGCTGGGAGCTGGCACTTCGCTGATTAACGGTGGACCCGCTGCTATATTCTTAGACTATTGTATTGTAGGCTCTATTGCGTGGGCAGTCGCTCAAGCGGCCGGCGAGTTGGCGGTTCTCTATCCCTTGGCTTCGGCATTTCCTCAATATGCTGTCAAATTTGTCGATAAAGCGCCCGCCTTCACAGTAGGATGGGCGTACTCGTTTTCAGCGTCGGTCACCCTCGCAAATGAGCTTCAGGGCGTAGTTACAGTCCTGAGTTTCTGGACGCAATCGGTTCCGATTGCGGTATGGCTTATTGTGTTTTTCGTGGTTATCCTGATCACCGTTGTGTGTGCCGTCAAGTTTTTCGGTGAAGTGGAAGCAATTCTATCCACTGTTAAGTTATTCTGGATTGTGGTGGTGATTCTTAGTTGCATCGTTATCAGTGCTGCGGGCGCACCGAATCATCAGAAAACTGGGTTTGAGTACTGGAACTCGATGCCCTTTACCAATGGCTTCAAAGGATTCCTCTCTGTTATGGCCACTAGCATTTTTTCCATGGGTGGCTTTAAATTCGGTGGCATCGCTGCTGCTGAAGCTCGAAATCTGCTAAGATCAGTTTCCAAGGCACTCAATACTATTTGGCTTCGTTTGACCCTCTTCTACGTTGTTTGTGGTCTGATGGTCACTATTACCATTTCCTTCCAAAACCCGGACGAGGGAATCAACGCAAGTCCCTACATGATTGCCTTTCGCAATGCTGGTATTCCTGGTCTAGCACATGCAACGAACGCTGTTATCTTTATCAGCGTAGCTTCATCAGAGAATGCATAGGCGTATGCCGCTACTCGCACCGTTGTCAGTCTGGCAAATATCGACATGGCACCAGCCATCTTTAAGAAGTGTGATCGGCTGGGGCGCCCATGGGCGACTATCTTTATCACATTTCTCGTGGGAGGTGGCCTATGCTACCTAAACGTCAGCAACTCAGGCGCAACGGTATTCGGCTGGTTCACAAACCTGGCTGCTTAGTGCATCCTCTGGTTTTGGGGCATCATCTTCCTATCGCTTGACGACCTACCATGGAGGTCGTGGTTAGGGCTACCTGGCACTATTTATGGATTGACCTGGTGTATTTTGTTAATTGTTGTCGAATTCTACCTGGCTGTGTGGCCTCTTCATGAGAAGAGCAGTGCCAAAAACTTCTTCGCAAATTATATATCGATTGTTGCAATTGTTTGCCTCTATGTCTGCAGCGAGATCTACTATCGAGGCCCGCTATGGATCAGTGCAAAGAATATCGACCTAGACGACTCTGGTTGTAGGTACTATGTGGTCGAAGATCTGGAAGCTCGGGTCAATCGAGTTCGGCAATCAAGAAGCTTACCAGGTTTATAATGGGTGACACGAAGGTTTAGGGCTGGTTTGTGTGGTTTATTTTGCTCATGCAATACTGTGGTTTCTTGTTATTATTTCCAATATAGCTAAATCATTAATTATCGAAGCGTGTTCACTTCTATGTTACCTTTCCAATCCAAATTGCCAATTGTAAAGTACAAAATAGGGCACCGGGATGTCTGGGTATAAAACCTCATCACCGGCCACTGATATCGACAATGCTTTTCAACCCGACCTGATATGTCTTGCTCAATCGGCCGCAATGACATGAACACCACCATGTACACTCTCACTTCCCTAAAATAGGAAGTATTTTGTTTCCAGTTACACCAGTATCTTCATTTAGTACTTCCCCAATAACCATACCCTCAGGCCGTTTCAACCAGGATATCTATACTATCGTTTTGAACAACCCATTTGTTCACGAAAATTAAAGTACTCAGAGACATACATTTTTATACAACAGTCTCCTAATACACGAGTTAATCCAATCGTCCCCATTCAAGGGAATCATTTTAGGAGATTCTACGGAGGAGGTCTCCGTACCAGAATAGATTCCGCACAGGAACAACCCAATGCACCAGATAGACCGCGTGATATCAATCCCTGCATAACTTTCCCTGCCAGCCCGACAGATAAGCCCTAAATGTGATAGTTATTAATTTGTTAAATCCTCGGGACCCTATCCCGTCCTTCGGCTTCAGTCAAACATGGTCAAAAAACAGCCAATTTAGGAATGACATATAAAAGCAGCCTGACAAGCCACGCTATCCATAAATTAAAAGCCATTTAACCTCTATCCCTGCATGCCATTTAGAGAACCGGCATTGGAACTCCTGTAAACCTGATGATGCGAGTCTATCCCCTATTCGCGATTGCTGTGACGACTGTCGCTGCGGCAGTATTTCCCCGGGATGCACCCAACCAGTCGATCGGCGTTAAAACCATCACCAGTCCGAATGGTAGCACGATTCGGTATAAGGAGCCCGGCGAGGAGGGTGTTTGTGAGACTACCCCCGGGGTCAAGTCCTACAGTGGGTATATTGATATTGCGCCCGATATTCATGTGTTGTTCTGGTTCTTTGAGTCCAAGTGTGATCCTTAGCATGATCCGGTCACGCTTTGACTGAATAGAGGACCAGGGAGTGACTCACTCATTAGGCTTTTTGAGGAACTTGGACCCTGTACCGTAGCAGATAGTATGACGACTGTTCTTCGTGATCATCCCTGGACTGAGGTTTCTAACCTCTTGTTTCTCTCCCAGCCGGTGGGAACAGGTACGCAGTGGCATCTATCGAGTAAAGATGGACTTTATTCTGACCGGGCTCTCCAGGCTTTTCTTATAGCACAGAAGAAGTTGGTATCCTGGATCCCACGTATATGACAGTAGAGTCGACCGCCGATAAGTCGGAAGAAGGGCGGTGGTCCGTCATTGATGTAACTACGATCGACAACAGTCGTTTGGCGGCCGAGTCTGCCTGGGAGCTGCTTCAAGGCTTTTACAGCGTCCTTCCCAGCCTGGATGCAGACGTTGAATCGGCAGATTTCAATCTCTGGCACTGGCTATCCCGGTTGAGTGCTCTCCGATATCTTTATATGCTGATTTAGTGACTAGGACCGAATCATTCGGCATGGAAGGCCTCTTCTATCGGTTCGGTGATTGTGGAACCTATGATATCGTACGTTTCACAATCCAAGGTTATAGGTATTGGCTACTAACCTCACAACAACAGCGCAGACGATCTGGAGAGGATGTTCTGTCCCCCCTAGCTACTGGCGCGTAGGTGTCATGTTATCCTTACAAGCCAGCCTATCTCCATCAACTAATAAGTACAACCTAGGCTTACCTCAACACCGCACCCGTCCAAAACGCCCTCGGCGTAGAATTAAACTACAAATCAAGCAACCTCATCTACATGGCCTTTAGTCTCTCTGGCGACTTCGCGGCACCGTATCTCCTCGATCTAGAAAAGCTCCTAGAACTAGACATCCAAATCTCTCTAGTCTACGGAGACGCTGACTACATCTGCAATTGGCTCGGAGGGGAGGAAATTTCCAAGGTCGCCAAATGGTCCGGCCAGGAAGCCTTTAATGAAGCAGGGTACACCAACCTTATGGTGGATGGGAAGGCATACGGCGAAACGCGCCAGTATGGAAAGCTAAGCTTTACCCGAGTTTGGGAAGCTGGCCACGAAGTCCACTCCCTGTATAATCACTGCTCTCTATCTATTGATATGGGTCTGAATGCTAACTCGGAATTGTCGTAGATTTCCAACCAACTGCTGCCTTGTAGGTCTTTAATAGGACTATTAACGGGTTTGATATTGCTACGGGGGAAGTTGAGGTTTCTCCTGATAGCTCTTATGCAACAAATGGTACCGCTGAGACTACTCATACCACTACTTTGCCGCTCCTGGCTTCGTCCTCTTCGGTTTGATAGTTGCATTAGAGGGCTTCTATTAATCAAGAGGTGGGTTTCTTACCTGAGATTTAATGTGGGATATATCTTGAGTAGAATATTGATACTGGGGTTAATGCGAAATCCCTCGTTAATTGTCCAATGATGGCGGTCTAATTATTCAGGTCTGGTATATAATAAACTGTGTGTAGATATTAGGGCAGCTAACCGTTGACTTATCTTCCTGAGATTCTTAGATAACCATATCGCTCAAAAGCATTAATGACTTCGGGCATATCATACGACCACCTACTGCTCAAGTGGCAAGACGCGCTGCGATAAGTACTCCTCTCTAGAACAAAATAAGCCTAAAACTCCCAGGATGTAACCACAACACAGAACAGCCGCTCAAGGAAAACTGAATTTAATTAAAACGGAAATAAAGAAGCCGCTTGAAATGAGATAAAATATACAGAAGCACAACTTGCAAAACTACAAATTAACACAGAAAAAAGTGCAGTCAAAGACAATGACGTAAATAATGTATTTATTCCAATCCGTTAGCATTCTTGCGATGCATGGTCAATATATGTTGTTTCATATTATCCTTCCGGTTAAAAGATCGACGACATCCATCAATACCACACTTAAACGAGAGGGGCATGACATGAGCGTATCGAATATGTCTTATAAGATCACCCGCCCGATTGAAAACGTTGGACGAAGAACAGCCTTGCCATTTGCATATGAGGACAGTAGACTCGGTTATCCTTGCTCACGATTCGAGGATTAGCATCGCTGGGACGAGATAGAAATTTAAAGCTCAAGTATACCTGTCGTCGAATAACTCCTTATTATCTTCTCTCCTAGCAGTAAGGTGATTATGAGGCGTTGCTGTCGTCCGTTCATAGATAGAACTGTTCAAGTAAACTTCTGAGCGATCCCAGTCACCAAGTCTAGCGTCATATGTCTGGACAGGCACACTGGATCGTTTATGGCACAGTGCTACGTGATATCTGCAAGGCTCAAGGACACAATGGAATTCCGAATGTCCGCAGCTTGCATGCCATCTGTTCGGACAGCGTGCTTGAGGGATATGCGCTATATGGGATCTCTCGATCGAAGGGGTTGAAGTGCTTATTGGCTGGGTCAAAACATCACCGACAGAGGTGTATGACATAGACGATGACTGGAGGTCGAGATCTTGATCAAGCAAAGGGAGACCCGTGTAGCTTGTTAGGCATGACTCTGAATGGCGGGAGTTGCTGTCAGGAAAAGAAATGAGGTCTGCAGGAGGAAAGATCAAGGAACCATCGGGAGTAGACATCACTGGTGAATAAATGCCACTCGCCGTCAAAGTCAGCAGCGATTCCTCCAACGAATACGATACTGCATGAAATGAATATATGATACTCGTGATTTATCCTTGCGGTAGACATTTTCTCAGAGAGAATGCTGGGGGGGCTATAATATTTATATGTTTTCCGATAGCTCTGCCGTCATAGCAAAGTCTCCCTGAATGTGAGCAGAGGCGATTATGACGATGCTGTATGCTAAAGGAGAACAATGTCCGTGATAAACGTGTGGCAACGGGAAACGCACATAGAGCCTCCCGAAGCGCGCTCGTAAACTGATCGTCGTCTCGGATTTAGCATGCTATTGGCGAATGCACATAATCATCCGAGTCCGCGGTGCGTCATGCGGCAGCAGAGCTGGGGCTCAAGCCTCAAGGCTCAAAATAAAATGAGGGCCATGGCCAATTGTATCATTTCAACAAAAATCTCCCATGCAAAGAATACTCACTGTGGTTGCCACACATGTGAACCATCCTTGTTCGCTTTATAAAACTGCTTCTAGCGCATTCTTAGAGTAGAATGTCCCAATAAATGCAATAAAATGAATCTCATGACAGGTGTAGCTCTAACATACGTCCAGGCACCGGGCCTGTCACCCAAGACATCCAAGTGTCTTTCAAACAAAAGAAAATCGACGCACGGAGAAAACAAATACCAAATTCAGACTTCGCATCCTTTTAATTTCGCCTGTTCACAGGCGAACAATCACAGGAGATGTTTGATTCGCAAAGGAAAAAGGAAACAAAAAAAATCTGCTCTGCCAAACAACCGGAATAGTAAACGCCGTCCGTTGCAATGATGACAATGATAAATGGGAGCAAAAGCAAAACGTGTACATCGCTGCGCCCGAATATTCAAAAAGGCAAGAAACCGAAAGATCATTCCATGGGGGAAGAAGGTTTGAACAGCCGTGGTACAGACACAGACCGACAGGCACCAGGAATAAATATAAGAGGAAATAGACGGGTGATAAAACAAGTAAAAAGAAAGAAAAGAAAAGATAGAAGGTAAAACAGAAGAGAAACTCCACAAAAACTCTAAGCTCCCGTACTCCAAATTATAGCTATAAGGAACTGTTGCTTCGGATACAAAGATCTTTCATGCGTTATCGTCGTGAAATGAGCTCCAGAGCCACGCAAGGGATGCTCAAACGGTATCCTTCATCATGTAGAGACGGTCACCGTAGTTTTAGTGGACCAACTACATATCGCCGTCATGATGAAGAGTAACACTGTTGAATTCTTCGAATGGGTCGTTCACTTCCGCATTGGGTGTAGCAAGACCAGAATCCATCGGGACACCCTTCATCTTGGTAGGGTTGCTGCCGCCAATATCAACACTGGCACTTTCTTTAACATTGCGGAAATTGAGAGTGTCGGTTCCTCGGCTTTGATGAGGAATCATCGGCGGCTTCATATGGCGAATAAGTGCCCATTGTGTTTGCCGGAAAAAAGGGTGGGTTTTTACGTCCGAAGCACCAGCACGAGCTCCGAGACGCTTTGTCTCATCCTTAATCAACAACTTACGAATCAAAGATTTGCACATGCTATTGCCATGCTGTCAGCACGCGATAGATAAATGTTGATGAAAGAGATCCTTACTTGGAGACCTGCTGCGCCCCGGCGTGTTCAGGAAATGGCACATCGTCTCGAAGGATGTTGCCAAAAGTTGCGTTCCTGTTCTTACCCTTGAAAGGCGTTGTGCCGTAGAGCATTTCATAAATCAGGATGCCAAGGGTCCACCAGTCAACTGCACTGGTATGCCCGCAACCCTTGATAACCTCTGGCGCAATATACTCCTCTGTACCGACGAATGAGTTCGTCCTGAAATCGGCAATGCATGATTTAGTGTCGATGGTGGGCAAGGAAGTTGTCGAGTTACCGTTCCGGGCCGGAATCATGGTGGGCGCACCACCCGGTCCCGACTGTTTGGATAAATCGAAATCCGACAGCATTATATGGCCTGACTGGTGCAGAAGGATGTCTGAATAACAACCGTCAGTATAGGTTCCACCGCTACTAGCAAATAGAATAATTGTATACTTTCTGGCTTTAGATCACGGTAGATAAAACCCATGAGATGAAGGTACTCTAGAGCGGCAGTAACTTCCGCTGCATAGAACCGAGCAGCGTCTTCGGAAATGCATTTCCCCGGCCGTGTCTGAAGAGCTACAAATGTTGACATTAGCCAATATCCAAGACAGATGCCCTAACGTATACGTACCTCGGAAAAATTCACCGCCGCTGCAATACTCCATACATAAGTAGAGATAATCTTCGGACTGGAAAGAGTGATAGAGAGTGACAATGAATGGATGATTACTCGTGGCGAGAATCTCTTGTTCAGCCAGTGCCCTTTTAATTTTGTTTCGTTTAATCATCTCTTTCTTGCTTAGGACTAGAGTGCTGTCAGTAAGAATACCAGATATGAATGCCCAGTCCATTCACAGTGCCAATCAATTGCAAAGGAAACATGGTATGAACCCACCCTTCATAGCATACAAGCGACTCGTTTTCTTTTCGCGAACGAGATACACCTTTCCAACGTCACCTTTGCCGATCAATTTGATCTTGTCGAAACTGCTTGGTCCAACCTCCACATTACGAATCTTGATCGAATTGGAGCTGTATGTTCTACGGAAGGCAACCTGATTGCGAATCTCGCCGGGACTTGGGATCTTGCCGTCAGCACCAAGTGTAGGTACGACTAGGCTTCCGACCTTCTCTTCTGCGATGGTAATCTGAGAGTCGGTTTCTTCGACAGGATGTTCTTTTCCAGTCTCCGCCGTTTGAGGGCGTCCATTGGTCTCGCCCCGGGCAAAGAGACCTTGTGCATTCGGAGCTGAAGCGACGCGGCGGAGTTTCCGAGCTAGTTCTTCTTTGTTGGCAGTCGTGGCCTGCTCTGCAGCCGAGACACCGTCGACCTGCAACTCGGGAGTGTCTGGCGGAGAGGAAGGTACGGAACCGTCATTGCGATGCTGCAGGGTAGGCTGCCCTTGGTGAACGAAATACGGATTGGCGGTTGCAGTAGGAGAAACCCCCTCGTCCAGTGGGTTGCCTTCGCTAGCAACGGTGGTTGAGCGATTGCGACCGATTGTAGGGAGGAATCGGGATTGTCTGAAGGTAGATTTCGGTTCGCCCTTGGCCGCAGCGGAGGGACTTCCGTCTCTATCCCGGTCGCTACTGTGATGATGACTATGATGGGACGAATTGCTGCCTGAGCTATTGATGCGGAAAAAATTCTTTATCTTAGTCGGGAAATGGCTCGACTCATTTGTATGTTTTCTGGACGGGAGAGAGAGGCTGGGGAAGTTTCCACGTTTCTCGTTCGACACATTGGACGGACTGGAGGCGAAAAGTTGGGTCATGCCGACAATTTCACCTGGGACTATACCAGGAATTGGGGTGTTTTCCCACGAGGTTGACGATAACCGATATTAGTGGAAGGGGGGAGGGAAGGGGGAGACCGTTTGGTCTGGATTGATCGATGCAAGGAAGGGGACCGAGCAACGGGCTAGAAACGGCGGGGGAGAAGGCGGTGCTCTTGCGATCAAAGGGACGTCCACCCGCAGAGTGATGGTGACATGGGGGGAAAGCGAGGCACCCGTCACTAATCACAGTCGGAGAACTACTAACGGTATGGTAAAAGAAAGTAGGGAGAGAAGAACGAGAGACACGATATTAATTATTCCCCAAACTCGATGAACAATGAATTTAAACGGAGAAAGGGAGGAAAGAGTGGGAAGAAAGAGGGAAAGGGAAGGGAATACAAAGTGGAGACGTGGAGGGAAATTCAGGCTTAGTCAAAAAACCGCCATAGTTAGTATTTACTTTGACTCCGGGTCACGGGTCAACATCACCCGCAACCCCATTGTCTTCTTTCAAGTCCAGCATCGGGACATGCCGATTCGTGGCGAAGGTTTCATTCTATCCCGCCTCTCAGTCAAGAACCATGTTGTTATACTCCGTCCTGCTTGCCACCATTCTTAGTATTACAAATAAGCTCATAAGCTGACATTCTTCCTGGTTTCCTTTCCCTCTTCCAAACCTTGTCCTTCATTTCTTTATTTTATTGTCTCCCTTCCACTTCTCTTTTATTCTGGGGCAATGCCCCAGATGACAACCTAACGTCAAGAACATGGTTTCTTCCTCTGGAATCGTTGGTCAGTATCCAGGAATGAACCCGGACTAGTTCGCTGGGCGCATCGTCTTGGCAACCATATCTCTCAACTCATTGTCATATCTGACTGATATCTATTTATTTGCAGATCTTTTACTCAGAAACAGTGTATATACTAAATATACATACCATACATCATGTCATATTTCAGCCCCAACTCACTCGGAATCTACCCTGATCAAGGTCATGGCTCCTTGCAAAGGATTCTGGGCACGGGCTCATCCGGGATCAATGCAATAGATCCAGTTTCCTGTCATGAAAACCTCGAAGACCAAAAAGAGAATAATATCATTTCCCAATGAGGCTGGATCCACACCTCAGCGGTACTCACCCAACTCACATATGCCGAACAGCCCCCTTCCTACCCCTCGATTATACCCATTGTTTGATCGCATGGAAACTTCTACAAGTAATATTGAGTTCTGTCCTCCCCTCAAAGGACTAAGAGAGGTTCATTTTCTCTTGTTTGGTAGGCCAGTTGGAGGGTAACGGGGTCCACAAATATAGTGGTTTGCCGCAGTTGATGCTGATCTATGAATTGATCTAGGTTCTCCTTAATAATGTCTAATAATCCAGGAATAGAAAGAGCCCCACTCATCGAAGATGGATATCTTCGAACTTTGGAGGAACCTCATGGCCGTGTCCATTCGACTTAAAAATGTCTCCTCAATACATAACATACCCCATCGCAAGCCCTTACATCGGATCCAACGATATTCCCACGCACTTCTGTGAAAGACTGTATACATTTTGCGGGAAATCTCTTCCGTTCATCTTTCTGGTTTCACGTCCGAAGAGAATATATCGATGCCTGATCAGTTCACCACAGGCTGCATTCAGCTCCTTAAGCGGATAGTGTCCTATATACGGTCGTTCTTGGGAGCTATCACCCCGATACAGGGTGCCATTCTCCGTAGCCTAAATGGGTGAGCTGGACTTTCGCTCTTGTAGCATGATATGGGGCTTTATATTGCCGATGTCGGGAAACCGTTTTCATAAATACATTTTGGGAGCCTGGGAATGTCTTGGCTATATGAGGAGTAGGAACTGTATACAGCTAAGAGTATAGAAAACATATCTGTAGCCTATTTCTAACGGTAGGCACTGGATGCTATTGGCTGTGACAGTTGTTCTTCGGTATCAAAACAGTCCCAATCTCCTGCGGGCGAGTTACGCTCCGGATTGTGATCCATTTCGTTGTTTCTGATTCTAGGTAGAATGGAAGGCTCAAGCCCCGAGATGTGTTTACACCATACAAAGATACCTAAAACGAGTCAATTGTCCTTAGCACTCAGTAAGGGAAACTTATCCTTGCACGAGACGAAGCCTAGAGGTCTACTCACGCACTGTTGTATGAAGTAGAGTGCACAGTCTACCTAATTTGGAGTAAACTGCTACACGGTACTAAGAATCACTAGTATCGAGCTAGTCTACTATGCGCCGATCCTAGAAGTAACCTAAGGGCATGAGTGGGTCTATGACATGATAATTGTTGGAGAATTATGCCAAGAACCGTTATTCACAGAATATCTCATGGAGTCTACGAGATTATGGATCTTTCTCATTGGAAGCCAGCTAATTATGACCGCTTGTTTGATTTCCACAATTCAGTGCTTGTGTACATACTTCATTACTCGACGCTAATGTTAAGCGACTCTATTCGAGCGTTAGGCTATGAAACCAGTTTCATCTAGTGAACTTGATCCATACTAATCTTATACAGATATGTCCACCGTGAAGCATCATGACCAGTAGCCTCCAGCAGTCGCCAAATTGACATGAAACCAACCCTTCCAGAGACGTGAGCAGTGAACTCCTCTGAACACACCTATCCGAGAATATCCTGCGTAATTTTTCAAACAAAAAGCCTAAGTCCCGTCCTCCAAGGTGGCTGGCCCAACGTGAGACAAGCAAAAGGGGCTTGGAATATTAAGCATCCTACCACTGTATCGAATACCAACCTGTTATCGCTAGTAAGGTTAGAATCATCGCAGAGGAAGATATATTGCTTGTCCGCATTGCTCACTCACCTGTTTATTTTTTTACTTTTCGAGAAAATGTTTGGAAAACAAAGCAAAGGCGAGGCATAACAAAAAAATAAAAGAAGATTGTGGACCAGAAATACAGTTGTACCTGGTACCACTAGAAATAGTCGCTTTACTGGCCATTGGCTCGAGTGCAACTAGGTTGTGCCTCGATCTGGGAGTTGTGCATCTCACGCTTCTCATCATCTTTAAGTTTGCGGAAAAACTCCAGCAGGGTTTCTCGACTGGGCTTAACACGCTCCTTTGGCAAATACCATGGTCCAGCCTCTTCAAATGAGTGCTGGGACACGATGCCCTGTGTTTGCCTATTAACGTTACCCATCGTGCATTGGCTTGTCTCATTTCTAGGCGCATCTCCTGGGCCATCAAAAGGAGGAACATAAGCCTGCACGTTGATGGTTTGGGGAACCGCCAAGGCAGCTGTCTTCTCGAAAACTAAGCCTCCATTCTTGCTCAGATGCTGCGTATTCAATGGCGAGGTTGGTTGCTTCATGCTCGGCATGTTTGGGTTTCCTCCGCGCACTCTGTGCGCACGACGTAGCGTTGTATTGTGTGACTCTAGCGCGTTGCTGTCTAATTGTTCCTTGATCCATCTAGAACTGCGAAGAGCACCTGAAGCCAGCGTCTCAGCTGATGCAAATTTGTATCTAGCAAAGTTCCGAGAACTAATAAAACTCATCATCAGTATGCTGTGTACTTTTACTTGGACCATTCGTTACCTTTCCGATAGATTTTCTGGATCCTTCCCATGCTTGCTACCTGCCAGCGAGCTCGTACCAACCCAACGCTTGCTACTGTTATTAGAAATGTGAATATAATGAAACAAGGTTGAGGATGTGACACTTACTTTCCTTCATAAACAGTAGCCCACGAATCTGTTGTAGATATGTACGACGAGGAGAGTTTCTCATTTCCCTCAATGTCTGACATAGATGAAGCTTCGCGGTAGCTTCTCACTGGTGCCCAAGGGGTAACTTCCAATCCCCAGGGCTGTCTTGCATACTTCATTAGCCTGCTGCTCGGGGCTATTCTCGCTGAATCTGCTCTACCAATTGTGAGTGACGGCATGGCCGGTTTGCTCTGTATTGGTCGACGGGGCGTTTTCCCCTCTTCCCTTCTTTGCTTTACCAGTCGTGTAGTGACGATAGACAACTCCTTGAGCAACTCATCAACCGGTTCACCCAGCTTTGTAGCTTCTTCGATTTTGATATAGAGGTGCCGAAGATCTAGCGGCGATGGTATTCTAGACGACGACTGTCCATTGCTGGTACCACCAGTTCTGTCGTTTGAAATGGATGAGTGTGCTTGAGTTTGCCTATCTTCTTGGTTCAACCCTTGGTTTGATCCCATGTCTTTTCTTTGCTGGGACAAATTATAATTTCCGATGGGCATGTCTTTGACGCCAATAGCGGTGTTGTGAAAGATTGGGCTCCCCAGGTTCGGCCACGGAAACACCGAAGCAGAGGCCTCGCTTTCCGGTACAGGCAAAGGAAGCGCGGGTGAAGCCAAGTATGCGGGCGGCATCTGACTCACGTAGCTTGTGCTGGAAGCTGAAGACATTGGCCTCAAGAAAACCTGACTGTTTGCGACGCTTCCTGGAAGGTAGATACTAGAAGGGACCAGTAATCTAGCGTTCGCCTCTTTCTGGTCATCTGAACTATTAGTATTTAGCCTCCCGAAGATTAGTTCCAACTGTTCTCTATACATTCGAACGGCGTCCAACTCTCGCACCAGACTCTTTCGCTGTTCAACCATTAACTTTTTTGACTGGGGATCGATATCCCAAGTGTGTATGGCCATGTATTTATCTAGGCGGGAGAGTTGTGCTGAAAGTGACTCATGCTGCTTTTCAGCTTCGTCCAAGCATTTCAGATGTGGCATCTCCCGGGGTGTACCCTGGAGACCCGATGGTTGTTTGAATACTGGGAACTGACTACCAACGGATTGATATACCTGAGGCACAAAGGTCGGATAGTATGAATTGTAGCCCAATTGGTACTGGCTAAAAGCAGAAGAGCCCACACTGGCAGCGTTACTGCATGATGAGAAGTCTGAGGATGCCGTTGGCACAGGTAAGTGAGGATGAAGCGAAGCTGGGATAGATGGACTAGGATCCTGCACATTCGAGGTCTGGTATATATTCGGAAACGCAGTTTGTATGTCCGAGCCATAACCATAAGCCGCGTGTTCTGGGATTACAGGCACATATGTCATCTGAGGCTGCTGATCAAGTGGGGGAAGTTGCTGACCGTTGAACGCGAGAGGAATGCTAGAAGGCACGGCAGTTCCCGGAGGGATCGCGGCCCAAGAAATATTTGACGGATATGCTGTCGCTTGAACTGCTTGGTCAAGCGCACCATTCTGGAAGGACAGCTTTGCAAGGTCCGGGAGAATCCCTGTAGGACAAACCGAATTCTTTGATATATCGCTAGTGTTAGAGTTCACCTCCATTGCCTCCATTGCCTCCATTGGAAGATTCCCGGATGCACTTCCGCGTTCGATTCCTGAAAGAGACCCAGATTCGTCGACGCCGTAGTCCCTCATATGCTGTTTCTGCACAGCCAATCTCATTCTGGGGACAGGAGATTCTGGCTCCATGGGGACTATACGACCACCGGCAGTAACACGTTGGTGCTTGGGGGATGTGTGGTCTTTGAGGAATCGCGCAAAGCCAGTATCAATCTGTGCAAGATTCGACCGAGGAGGGTCCTTTGGGGGACGAATTGGGTAGTGTAGGCGGCTGGGAGAAGATTCAGTTTGGTGCGAGATATTGGAGACTGTCCTTGACTGGTTAACCGGTTGTTCAACCAAGGCGTTGGTGCTTGTTTGGTGTTGGCGTAGCAGATTATCTACACAACGGGCAAGTAATTGAGCCTCATCAGTCCTGGATGTGCACAGTTTTCTAATGTAACAAGGTATACATACTGCCGAGAGCCTGGTCACTGAACTTTCCAATTTCTATCCGCGCATTTTGGCTCAAAGCCAGTAAGGTTTGGATGTCATACTTCATATTGCAATTTAGGAAGGAAAGGGTGGAAGAGCATGGTTTTCACAAGTTGGCGAAGTAGATGCTGAAGGGTGAAAACATGTATGTTCTAAGACATGCCCCAGAAATACAGGTCCAGGGTTGTTTTGATTCAGAAGGTCCACCATGATGTTGTTGCCTGATGAGGAAAGTGCACATTGGATCACAGAATCAGACGAAAACTACAGCTTAAAGTAATGAGTGACGTTCTGTTCAAACTCTTTCACCTGGCATAAATGTGAGATTAAATATAAGTATATCATAGAAAGTGGGTGGGGGAAATGTTAGAAACGAATAATACAAAAGTCAGAGCTTTATCGCCTGATTACACCCCATCAAACAGTCTCCCGAGCTGTGACTGGTTGTATAGTACTATGTATCTGCCATTCATCCTCTTCAATCTCGTTAAAAGGAGATACTGCCTGCTCACTCCCACAATGATCAGTATTCTTCCTTTGTTGACTGTGCATTTCCCAACTACCCGTACGCTCATGTCCTCTCACAACAGTTATACCAGCACCGTTGCTGTTGATGTCTTGATTATCTGCTGGTTTGATATCCTCCCGCGCAGGACTTTTGAATGTAACATCAGAGTCACTGGCCATTTTGCTGTTCCCTTTAAAGCCTCCGAGGCTTGACCTCCGAGTTCGATCCATACGGAAACCACAGACCAGGAATCCAGCAATTGCGACGAGAGCGAGTATCACAAGAGTAACGACTGCCCCAATAACACCAGCAACCGCGGGGCGGAGACCCTCGTTACCAGTGGGTTGTGTTTGATGCCCACTATCTAATACGCCGGAGCAGAACGCAGCTTCTGAGTTGCAAACAAGGCACCACTCTTTTGTCGATCCCAACGAAAACCTCTCCATCTCGGCTTGAAATTCCACATACGGAATAGATATGCTGCTGGGTCCATGCCCAAAAAGGGGGTAGGACTGAAAATCTGGCGAATGGGATCCGTTCCGCAAGAGGAATCGGATATATAGCTGAGACAAATCGGGGTATACGGGACTGGATCCATTATCCAGACTGTAAAGCTCAAACACCATCGATGCACCGGGCGTGGGACGTCCATAGAAATTTTTATATTGTGGGGATGCCAGTTGCATAAGGGATGTCAGAGCGACAGCAGGCTCGTGGCCGCCAAACATGAACGTCATTTTCCCGTTAGTACCCCGATGGTCGATATTGTTACCAAAAGCATCCAAAATGCTAGAGGCCAAAGTACGCCCTGCAATGGTACGAATACGGTCACTGACGTTGGTTCCTGCTGAGGTCATATTGCCATTCGTTGCGAAGACATAATGGTCCGCAAGGGATCGCGCATGGTCTATGTCTTCCTGGTTGATGTTGTGCAGTAATGTTTCATTGTGCAAGGACTCGTACTCTAGATACTCGGAGATATAGAGGGCATTTGCATAATTGGCCGAAGAAGGGTCCAATACTCCGGACAGGGACAACGGATAGATCTTGTTATAAAATGCCGCTGAATCTTGCATAATCTCTTGAGCATCTGGGCTATACTTGTACTCAGTATTAGCAACCTGGTGTAGCAGGCAGCCTGTATTGCCGTCCAATTTGATTGATCGAGGGTCCGCTGAGTTAAGAGTGATGAGTTGAGGATACTGATACCCACCCAAGGGAGCAGTAGCTAAGGAACCATTGGCAAGTTGAAATGGAGAATCGGAAAAAGTTGCGTTGAATGACTTCTCAAGGGGTGGATAGAGGCCTTGCATGAAAGCCTGGGCGGACGCAGCAATTGACGGATCAGTGGTCGAAAGCACATCCACCTCTTCGGTTTCTAGTAAGTAAGGCGATAGGTTTTGGACTCTCGTATTTGGAGTACTATTGTCTGCATGTATCGCAACATAGCGGTCCCGGAAAACGGATCCTGCTGTATACAGATCACTAGCCCCATACGGTGTCAAGGCTTTAGGGCGAGGCAGGGCTGATGGAATACTGTCTCCATAGACGTTGTAGGCAAAGACTGCCCACACTTTCTCTTCCAGATCTTCAGCAGAAACTAGAGAGGCAAGTAATCCTGCTGCCGCAGTAACCAAGTAGGATCTAGGGATTAACATAGTAGGCTTCAGAGTTGTCAGATAATTCCTTTCATAGGGCCGATGTATTGAATTAGATATTTCTATTGATAGAGAACAGGCCTCATAAAGGAGAGAGGGCACAAGCGCTGGATTAGAGTTCAATATAGTCAGGTACATGGGAAATGGAAAAAATGTATAAGAGAGCTTAATGTTATATACTCATGCAGGTAGCGAGGCCTAGACTCTTGCAGACTTTGGGGACGTCCTTGAGACATGACGACATGAAGTAATGGTTTCTTCGTCAGAGAAACTGCGTCCCAGTGGATGTATTTAGAAACCCTGACATTGAGGAAACATTCAATCAAGTATTCGTTTGTCTTCCTAGGATGGTCAATGCACTAAAAGCAAGTAGCACGTCCTAAATTCCACCCCTTTTAGTCACTATGTTGATTATAATCGATACCTATCGACGGACTAGATCTTTTGCTCAAGCTGTTGAACTTCAACAACCTGCCCAGGTGGTTGGTTTCCTCCCCGGGCCCTTTCAGTACCATTGAAAGGGCAATATTCGAGTTAGTTAGAAAAAAAGAGAAGCTGCAAAAAGTTAGTCAAGTACCAGGAAATGTGATGTCAGTTGCAACGGTACTTAATCTATCTATGACGTGTAGACTAAGAAGGGTAGTATTCTAGAGAAAGCAACCGTGGTGGTGGGAAATTTCCTAGGAAAGCAACTCGCGCGTATCATTTATGTTGTAATCCGCAGAAAAAGCCGAGGTTTAATAAAAGAGACCAGTAGAATGGAGTAACTTGGCTTCAATGATTTAGATCCGTACAGTACAGTTCTGTACTGCGGCAGGTTAAACGATCCACCCGTCTTTCCCTTCCAACATATCACACCTGTAGTAGATGCTGTACAGAGTAGATGTAGATTGAATTCAAGCAGTTACTGACGATTCACATTGAGATTAAAGCTGTTTGAGTCTGAGAGTATGTCCATATTCCAAACTTAAAAATGGAAAGGAAAGTGATTTCCAAGTTATGTCCACCTCTCACTGTTTGCGTTATCTGCCCCGGACGGCTGCCTAAGGCTCCGAGAGTCACCTTCCGCCAGCGAAAATTCTGTCACGCCATTTATCCGCCCGTCTCATCCTCTCGCAAGCCCTACGCCTGCGCCCTACCCCTAAGCCCTTATTTCTGCTCTTGGAAGTCAACGCCCTATACAAAACGATTTGACTGGTCCTAACATGGTGAACACACGCGGCGTACGGCCGTCTATCGATGGGCAGGATTCTTCTGAGCTTCCTCCAACTCCTGTTCCCAAGGATGAGGGTCTCAATGGTAAGTCCTGCGCTCGTCTTGCGAACAATCCATGGCTCCATGCGGCTGTTCCATTTAATCTAGACAGAATACCCATTCTTCTCCCTTGAACGCATTCAAGATGTCTTCTATTCGCTCTTCCTAGTATAATGCTAACTACTTACCCAAGATTTCACAGTGTCTCCGAAAATGTCTCGGCCCCTCGACGAAGATGACGGCGCCCTCTCTCCTCGAGCCTCCAAGAAGCCGCGCCTCGAGTCTGAATCAGGAGACCTTTCACTTCCACCACACCCTCCAACACTCATGGATCAGGGTCCAGGCAATCAAATTGAGGAAGAATTAGCTTCAGCCCTAGGCCCGAGTGTAGTCGACACAGTGGAGCGTCAAGATATCAAGCCTAGCCCCATCGAAACACCTGTCGAAAGCGCGGGTGCACCAGAACCCAACCAGGACATTGACACCGATATAGCCACAGTAATCTCGAGCATTATGAACCATGCTGAACGTGTTGAAGAACAGTGTGTCATTGGGCAACAACAGTTAGCGGACACCTCTGGCCAGTCGGCCCCAAAAGGAATGGTGTTTGTGAAAGCAAATTCTCATCTAAAGATTCAAAGTTTGCCCATCCTTGACAACCTGGTAAGAGAGTTTTCTTGGAGTGGCATTTGTGGCATGGCCTAATATATTCTCTCTAACGTTTGCTCAGTCTACTCAAATCCTGTCTTTGCTAGCAAAATCTACTTACCAGGATATCACCTCGTTTGTCTCTGAACCAGATTCCGAGAATGGACAAGCATATGCCACCATGCGATCACTTTTCGACCACACAAAGAAGGTGTATTCGACCAAGAAATCGTTTCTCTCTGCTACCGAACTTGAGCTCGCAGAACCCTCTCAAGTCGACATCATCAGAAAGGCCAACCTCGCCTCCTTCGTCTCCAGTATCTTTGGAACACAGGAGATTGGGTTCTCCGAGCTGAATGATAATTTTCTCGATGTCTTTGTTCCAGAAGGGGGTCGTTTGCTCAAGGTACAAGGAGCTCTGTTCCTCGAGCTGAAAACGCAGGCGTTTATTGCCTCGATGAACAACACGGAACGATCACGGACTGAGCTGCTGTACGATTTATTCCCCGATGACTTGGATATGCGTCTACTTGAAAAGCGTCCAGGAACTCGTCAGCTCGCCCCGAGTGAAACTGATTTTGTGAATCGCGCTAAATCACGCCGTGACATTCTTCTTAACGACATCAACAATGAAGAAATGATGAAGGCCTTACCGGACAAGTATCATTGGGAAGATTTTCTCAGAGATCTAAGTTCGTATGTCACAAAGAACTTTGATACCATCAGTAATCAACAGGTTCGAAACCCCGATTCCCTGAATGAGAGCAGCTCACATGCTGACCCATTTCAGGCGAAGAAGATAACCAAAGGACGGCAGCCATCCTCTTCGAGCGGAGACACGCAAGAGCCAAACAATGCACCCCTTCAAGGCCAATTTCCGGTTGCCTCTCAGCCCCCTGACGTTCCTGTTGACAGAAATATGCACGGAGATCTCGTTGCTCGCGCCGCTCGTGCAGCACAAATTGCACTGCAGGGCCATGGGCTGAGGCGTTCTCAACAGCAGTCACAGCAGTCACAGCAGCAGTTACAACAACAACACAGCCATCAACAGCAACCTCAACAACCTCAACAACAAGCCCAACAGCAGCTACAACATTCAATTCAGCAGCCCACACAACCACAGCAGCAACATGTACCTCATCACACCGCCCAACAAGGTGCGCAAATTTATCATGGCTATGTTCCTGCGCAACCAAGTGGTCAGCTCCCACCCCAGCAGAACCCTCATCATCAACAGTATCAGCCAAGTCCCACACCGCCAGGGTACCAACCACAGCCTACGCAACCTACCTTTCAGCAAGGACAAATTCAAGCGAATTTCCAACAATATAACCATGGCACACCGATGTCAATGCCTGGAAGACCAAACTCTGCAGCCGCCAATCATGGTTACATGCCTGGCATCCCTCATTATTCTCAGTCCCAGCCGACTCAAGTCCTCTACGAGCGGGCTCGTATGGCCGCATCAGCAAAGTCATCCCCAAGCAGCCGTAAGTCGGGCTTACCGAGCCAGCGTAGGCCGTGGACAACAGAAGAGGAGAATGCACTGATGGCTGGCCTTGATCGTGTCAAGGGTCCCCACTGGAGTCAGATTCTAGCCATGTTTGGCCCTGGGGGTACCATTAGCGAAGCACTGAAAGATAGGAATCAGGTTCAGCTCAAAGACAAGGCGCGCAACTTGAAACTATTCTTCCTTAAGAGTGGAATCGAAGTTCCCTACTACCTGAAATTCGTTACCGGTGAATTGAAAACCCGTGCACCCGCCCAGGCTGCTAAGCGTGAAGCACGAGAGCGGCAGAAGAAGCAGGGTGAAGAAGACAAAGCCCATGTTGAAGGAATTAAAGGTATGATGGCCTTAGCCGGCGCACATCCTCAGCCAGTTGCTTTAGGACACGGCCATGATGGCATGTCAGCATCTCCCAGCTTGCCACCTGATGCTGGCGCCCATGCAACGTTCGATCAAACCGCAGAGCAGAACTTGATGCAAACTCTTGGTCAGGAAGTGCATGGAGATCAGTTTGGACAGCACCAGCATCATCAGCATCATCAGCACCAACACCAGCATCACCAGCATCACCAGCATCATCAGGATCCTGTTGATCCAAACATGCACCTTGCGCAGTAGCTTGAATCCCCTTCCCCTTTGTTTCTCGATCTTGAAAATTTCTTTCCTCCATTTGTCGTCCGCACACAGTCCTTTTTCCATCTTTTTTCTTTCTTTTTCTGTAACTGTATGCGACGAAAAGTCTGTTCTGCTTTTCGAATATTGTTCTTGCCTTGGTGGGGAGATTACTAGCGGGTTGGCTTTCACAATATGGGATCGATATGGGATATTCTGTAACAGTAAACAGGTGATTTACGATTAGGCAGAGGCGATTGGAATCATGGATGTACTTTTATGAAATAATAGCAAAGAACAATGTTACATGAATTAGTTAAATTCTACGGTATATACTTAGTGACTATTAGGGCATAGAACAGGGTAAATTTATCAGTTATGCTGCGGAGTTAAATCACGTTGGGCCGGACGCGGTGAAGCTAAGCTCTCTCCGCTCGTTCGCATCGACGTATCGCCGCCATCCATCGGACGCCCCGACTTTGAGGAACCTCGTTCCAACTCGTCCGCTGCCAAACAGGGATAATTTACCTTTTTTACAGCCCAATCTCCTGATCGCCTTCTTTTGTCCTTCCTTTGTTCGCACCATGGCCGACCAACCGCCATCACAGACCTCTGTCCCACCTTCATCGGAACTACCACCTTTGTCACAGATTGGCTCCCAAGAACTTTCAGCGTCCCCAGCCACAACCTCTGGCGAAGCAGCAAATTCGTCTGGGGCAACAACTGTTCCGAAATCTGAACCCGATGCAACAGATGCTGCTGGCTTGGACGCTTCCATCGAGCAGGATATCGATCTAAACGCGAACAACGCCGACACTAAAATGACGAATAGCAACGACGCGGAAGACCCTGCCATAGGGAATCCAATCCAAGAGCCAACATCGGTTGATGCTTTAGCGGCGGCAGCGGCTCCGTCAAAAAAGGAGACAAGTTTGCGCGAGTTCTTGGGGAAAATGGATGAGTATGCGCCTATTGTAAGTATTTTTCTTTTCCTCTTGTTGCCTTAAAATCATCCTTCTTTTGTACTTCCCCGATATATACAGCTTGCCATGTAAGTCTTAACACGGAAATAGATCCCCGATGCCGTAACCGCTCACTATCTCACCCTTGCCGGCTTACCACCCCCGGGAAACGGCCCCAACCAAACACCGCCACACCTAGCACGACTTCTCGCCTTAGCGACGCAAAAATTCATTGCTGATATCGCTGCGGACTCATACCAGTACGCGCGTATCCGGGCTTCTAATAGTTCCTCCGCTAGCAATCCAATGGGCAGTCTCAACGCTGCATCTGGTCTTAACATGCCTACTGGTGCTTCTGGCGCAGGTGCGGCAGGTGCTGCTACCGGCGCTTCTGGTGGAGACGCAGGCAAGGGCAAGGCCAATACACATCTGGGAATTCAGAGACCCGGGTTTGGTGGTGGTGGCTCGGGTGGCTCAGGACAAGGTCGGACAGTGCTCACCATGGAAGATCTGGGAATGGCAGTTTCCGAGTACGGTGTGAGTGTGAAGAGAGGGGAGTTCTACCGATAGAGATTGGGCGACAAGATACACCATGATGGATGGCTTTTCGGGCCGTCAATAAGTAATTTTGAGGCACGAGTTGATGTTGGGGCTTTTTCCCTTAAGTTGTGATGACGCAGACACGAAGCTGTATCTCACGTCCCGAGCGGACGACCTGGAGATGGCGATGCCCATCTTGGATATTTCGTGCTTGACCGCTGTCGACTGAATATCGAACGGCGGCTTTATTGGAAGGGTTTGCTTACTGGCGTACATATTGGGCTGAGGACAAACGATATCCTGCATTTGGGTTCTAAAATTTTACCACACAAGATTTTGCATAGGCGTTTGGGATGGTGAAGAAAAGATGGTAATAGTCAATTTTGTACTACTTCGTTGCTGCTATCGAGGTCGACATTGGTTGATTTTCCTTCATTATGCGTTAAAGAACCGAGAGATAGATAAGATTGATTCAATGATATTGAATATCCTGACTCCACGGTGTCAGTGACAGTGACTGCTAATTTTACATCTGACATATGCAACATAGATATACAAGAATACGAAAACGCCAATAGAGAGTATAGTAATTCCACACAACCGGGACTTTCCACAAGCTTGCCCTTCGCAGGGGACCATCCATTAGCGACAAGTCATTCATGCCGCGCCATTTTAGACGCCCTCCGCGCAGCTCGAGAACCACATAACCCACAAAATAAATAAAGCCGCAACCATCTTCTATTTATTCTTCGACTGCTTATACGTGAACCTCTTCCGCGTCCTAAGCAACATCAAAAGTCAGCTAAATCCATCCTTCTTTAACCACCTATCAAAAACCAGATGAAGGTACGGTACGGTACATACAGGACATATTCACCAAGCTTCCTTCCAACCATCTCCTCGGTAATCAGGACATCCTGGTAATTCTTCCCATTGTGCACTGAGAATCGCAGACCCACGAAATTAGGAAGGATTGTTGCTCCGCGCTTCTGTGTCTTGATCGGGGGTGTGCCCGGTGGAGGGGGAAGTTTACGGGGCAGAGGAAGACTGCTCGTTCTGCGTTAGCTATATACATTTTCAATAACATTCAGTTTATGGTCTATGTGGTCTTGGATCGGATTTGGTGGCTTTGTTTCAAGGTCCGGAGGGGTCTGGTTTGACTGATGGGATGGACGTACGGAACAATGTTTGGACCTGTTGCGGTGGATTGTATCAGCGATTGAAACGTATTCTATGATTGTTGATTACTGTAATCATAGGACAGCTCACCTTTCCAGGCGGAGCGCCCCAAGAGGGCACGAGTGGGAAACATTTTGTCGCGATCTGCTGGGTTGGTTTGGCTGTTGCGATAGCCCGATACAAATTGTTCGGAGCGGCGGTATATTGGCTTAGTCATCACGTGCCACTTCAATTTTGTATACATTTGCATGAAAAGCGGAAATATGAATGAGTAAAAGAAAGCCAAGGTAATATCTTTTTCAATAAATCTATGGTATTCTATTCTATGTACTCCAGTTAAATACTATGGGTGACAGGGGAGAGTAGCGTCCAGATACTACTTAAAAGGTCACTAATACTTTGATAACCGGGTGCATGAGTATGATATCCACAAGTCGCCAGCGACTATTATAATTGTAGGTTTACTCTGCAGCAAGTTCATCGAAGAATTTCGCCAGATTCCGCACTCCCATGAGCACATTCTCATCAGGTCCCTGGCCAGGCGTCCAGCTAGCGTGCGCAAAGTCAATTAGACGAAGATCATGCACCTTTGGAGGGTCTTCCTCGTCCTCTTCGTCTTCCAGGTCACCTAACTGAGCTGTTTCCGCCTCGATATTGATATTAATGGCCTGCTGGGGCTTGCCATCTGTCCCGACTGGCAGATCCACCACCTGATAAGCCCCGTCCTGCTGGAGTTGAAGTTCAAACTCTTCGTCGTTATCTTCCTCCTCCAACTCCTCTGACCCTTCTTCTGAGTTCTTCCTGGCGCTCTTTTCCACCATGAGTGCACTCTCCATCTCCACTGGGTCACCTTCATAGATGATCAGGACACTCGAGGAATACATCCGGCTTTCATCGGATTCAAGAACTTTTTGCAGTTCGTTCAGTTCATCGGCCAGCCTCCTAGCAATGAGTTTAGAGCGATCAACAACACCAGCCTTCGCGCCAGCCAGGAAAGTCTCGAGGCCCTCCCTCACATTCTTGTCGCTGAATGAACGTCCGTACCACTTGTCGTAACGCCTGTAGCCGTCTTTCTCAATAACCTCGCCTTTCGTGCCCTCGGCGCCCTCGTATTTGGTCGCATAGGGGTCGGTTTTGCTCCCTTCGTCACTTTCCCCATTCACGCCAGTCCACACTTTCATACCAGCAATTCGAAAGCCAAGACTAGAGCTAGTCGTCTCCTTAGACACGGTATCCAACTTTGTCCGTTTCGCCAGCGGCGCATCGTCTGCCCACAATCTCGCCCCCAACTTGACATCCAAGACATTCGGCCGTCTAAACCCAGATGCCACATTCTCCAACACGATGGACAAACCCGTATCGATCTTCTTCCCACCCGATGGTACCCATTGCCCATCCTCTTGTGCAGATTCTTCCGGCGCACTTGTAGCCCCGCTGGGTTGGGGCGTTGCGACAGCTGTCGAGGCTTCCGACGAATCGGAGATGGGGAGAACGATAGCGCCTGGTTGGGCACTGGCGAGCGCAAGCGGTGATTGTTCATTTGCGGATGTCAAAGTTCCAATGTAGGTAGGGATGAAGGGCTCGAAAGCCGGGTGGAGGGCGCAGGACTCGTAGAATGCGACCTCCGCGGGGGTGCAAGGCTTCGCGATAAAGGTGCCGGAGGGGGTGCACCGAACGCCCTCACTGTACGAGTTAGTCTCGAAATCTAAAGAATGCAGATGGCTTGCAGTTGAAAAGGCGTTTTGGAATTCACGTGCGTAACCATCTACAATCCTAGCTGGTTCGGGATAGAACTTACTGTCCAGCCGCGGCATGGTCAAAAGCAACGAAGCTGTCGTTATCCAGCTTTTGAGCCCTGGAGCTATCTGACTTTGCGGAAGATGGCATTCTTGTGGCTATTTTAATTTTGTGGGGGAAGAAAGAATAGAGAAAAATTAAATTTAGTGCAGGTAAAATGACTAATTTCTATGACATTACTCCATGAATCTCGACACGATCAGAGGCGCGGTCAAAGAGAGATCGGGTAGTCGATGAAGGGGTGGATGGAACAACTTGTGAATATTTGATTTGAAGGAAGGAGAATAAGTCACAGAGAGGACACTAAAGGAGAGACAAGGTAAGCAAGAGTCTTAGCTGTGCAATATTAATGTTACCTAGAGGTGTTGCAGAAGGTATGATCGGCAGTCAGGGGGAAATTTGTTCCAGAACCACTTCACTGGTTAGAGAGAGTATTTTCTGGGGGAGGGAAACCCTTGGGCAAATCTTAAGGTTAAGCAACGTGGAACCTTTTACGCGCAGTGACATCTTTCCCTTTCCACTCTAGCGTTGCATTCTGCTTGTCAAGCATACAGGAACTCAATTTGAACCATCCTTCATCAATATATTTAATAAATGGACTTAGGTTAATTTAACACTTTCACTCCTACCTAGTAGTACAACACTGTTGGTCCCTGGTTAATTACCCATTGTGGCACTGCTAAGCTAGAAACAATATTCATTCAATTACCCAATTTCTGGAATTGATTTCAAGGCCAGTACACCGTGTGCGGGTCTCTTACTCAACACACCAGCGGGAAACTCTGGGTTGTTCTTTTGGTTCTTCCCATTCTAAGACCTTATGAGGGCATGATGGAGTCCCCTCCCTGGGTGGTGGACCGAATAACTATTTTAACAAGCTTGAGGCGGAGAAAGCTCTGCATATTCCACCCACTAACTACGGTGTACTCTGTTTGTGGAGCCTGGATCTTCAGTGGTGATAGAATTCCTCCAAGCGCCTAAGGGCTTTTTCCTCGGGACATTGGGCAGACCAGCAATACAATGATCAGCCATGATTTGCTTAATTTCAAGCTATTGGTGAATGGAATCCCAGTGATAATTCAAAACATGGCTTGGAATGGGGCAAAAGGGTTTCAGAGGCCACCCCAAGGCCACTATTCTACCCTTGTTCTTGCCGCTGACCGAGCGTGTGACAGATGATATCCCGATACGTACGTTCTAGAAGAGGGTGTTGGAATTCTGGCACGACTCCTACAGAGCGTGGATTGACTTGCAACTCAGTTTTCCTGGCTCGTCATGATCAATACCGGGGATCTTTTCATTTGGTTACCGTCGTCAGGAAGTGTTAAATTAGAAGCTAGAAGTCCCTGAATGCTCCCCAGGCGTGGCAGTTCGTCTGCTGCAGATTCTCCTCAGTCGTATTGGCTGCCTTCAAGGATAAACCAAGAAGCGTATCAAAATAGATCAATGTATATTTCATATAAACATATAAGAATACAGGCCTCAATACTTAGCCCTTTTATGCTTTGGTGTTGTTGCTCTACACTGTATGTCATTTTGTCAGCTGAGATGCATTGGCGCTCCAGCTCAGATTAGTCGAGCTAAGTAATACAGTCACCCTTGTGTTTCAGATAGGGCCCAATAAGACCTAACTGTGGGACAGCCTGGGCACTTTATCGTGAGTAGTGTTATTTTTAGCCTTGGCAGAATATTGTCAAGTACATAGATCTGGCAGTCTCACAGTCTCTTGGTCCACATATTGTAGAAAACTAGACAATAGTTCTAATCAGCACTACATGAAAGCGTTTAAATAGAGTAATAAAAGTTTGGGTCTGTCATCAGTATTCACATCAAGGTTAGAACTTTGTGCTACATGCAAAAAACATAAACAATAGGAACGTAAGATGCAACAATACTACAAACAATACTTGGGGTACCCGCTGTCTGATTAGTTGTAAGCAAGCATTCATAGATTCTATACTTGTAGGTGCACGTTATTCTCTGTTTCAGGAACCATTCACTCATCCTTTCCGTTGTTCCTCTTTACCAGTCTCCCAGCCCGTTTTGATCTGGGGCTGTTTTGGATTCTTTCCTGCCCTCCACTCAACACCTCCCACTCGGTACTAAGGAGATACTCATCTTATCATGGAGCCGTCTGGGATTACTTCAGATACGGAGGATCTACTTTTTCGTCCTCATGTGGGTGTCAAGGAGAGCCAGCTACCAAGCGAACCAACCCTGACTGATCATGTCCAGGCCACGGACACCCCAGTAGGCTCTTCTCAGCCCGTTATTGGCGGAGTGGAAGCTAATTTGGCTGGTTCTGTTCAGACCTTGAATAACGAAGCCGAATTTTCTGACCAGCTAGCGGTTGGAGACGAAGAGGTCACCCCGACTGAGCTTATCAAGGCTACAGTCAACCCAACTGCCTCTGCTGTTAATACTGAAAAAGCTGCTCCAGCTGATCCTGAACAGGTAACAGGCAACCCAACTATCTCGTCTCATCAGTCAATTGCTGAAGTTGGACAAACTACCGGGGCTGGTCCTGTCCAGATCACTGTCGACCAGACTAACTCTGCCCACAAGTCAGCTGTTGGTGATGGAGCTATAGCCACAGATGCCCTAGTAACCTCTATTCATCAGTCCGCCACTAACAGTGAAGAGGGGAAGAGTATGAATGCTACAGTGGATCTGGTTGCGCCCAAGGGAAAAAAGAAGAGAAAGCCCAAATCCAAGGCTAAGCACGGCAGAGTACTTAAGACCCCCTGTTTAACTACGCTCACTTATCTTAATTAACCATGCATCAGGGTAAACCTACTGGATTTGAGGAGTACTATGTTGATGCGCCTATAACCCCAAAGGAGTTCGAGGAGGAGAAAGCACTTTATGACAGGTAAGCGAAACAATCTAGGAGAGAGATGGCAACTAATTTAAATATCTGGGGAAAAGCTCCAAACCTCTTATCTAGTAAGTCTTGGTTGTATCTCTGTGTCTTGAAAATATTGATATGTTTCTAGTTGCATCGAGGATGCCATCCTACGCTACCAGAAGAATCGTCGCTTGGAGCCGGACAGGCGCGAGGTGTTTTTGAAGTACCTAGCATATGGAGGAGTCGATGTTGGCCCAAAGATGTTTGCGGGAGTGGATGAACGCGAACTCCAGCAGCTTGACAGTGAGCAAGCTCTCATTGCTAAAGGGCAGGCCAGCATTCACCGAGCCTGTTCCGATCTCACTGTTGATTTCAATGCAGTCGTGACGGGTTACTTGTACGACAACCTTAGTTATAATCAGACGTGACTAGCAGAACTAATGATTCACAGGACATCGTACTTCCCTTACTTCTTTAACCCTGAGAGTGAGGATATGGTGAAGCTGGCAACTGTCACAATCCGAAATTTTCTGTCCTATCTCCTCTATCATAATGTGTGCCCGAAGTATAAAGAGAACATCGATGAGGCGCGCAAGTCATGCGACATTGCGAACAACGAGCTGTGGCAAAACCAGAAATTCGCAACATTAAGCCCTGGTGACTTCAACAAAGGCTGCTCTACCCTCTTTGGTGGTTACTTCTATAATGTCCAAGTTGAGGAGAATAACTGGAACAAGAGAACGGACACCTTCCTTATGAAAACTGACGTCGCTCATAAGGTGGTTAAGTTTGCTTTAGCTGGTTCAGGAACAGACGCCCAAGCCCTTCGATTCCAGGAGTTGGTGAATCAGGAAGCTTTGCATTGCGCACTTATCCAGGACATTCATGGCTTTGAAGTGACTGCGGTTTCTCCTCCCACACCAGATGTTCACGAATTCTACAAGCGGCACGCACCCGATCTGAACCCCGTGGGCAAATTGATGGGGAAAGCGTACCTTGATCCTGGCAAGCCTCGTTATGACTTCAGTGTTGAAGACAGGCTGCAATGGGAACGCGAGATCGCCTCATTGCCTGATTTTGAATTCTTCCTAGAAGAAGATCTGCTCAAGCTCTGTTACGTGGGAATGAAAGTGATCACTCAAGTGTGGGAGCTCAATTGCGGGTTCAACTTCTTCGAAGATGTTCATACAGTTTACTGCTCGAACTACACAGTCCTCTGTAACGATCTTATGCTGGGTTGGAAGAAGCCGGTTGACTCGACTGCGGGCGGTCAGGATGATGCTGATGAGACTGAGATGGAGGATGATGGCGCCGGGAAGAAGGGAGATGAGAAGGCGTTGTAAGCTGTACCACGCGTTTCAGCTGCCGCTCAGTTCAAAAGATTCTTCGCAATGTGTATGCCAACCTTTCTTGGCTTTTCTCAGGCGGTGACTGGAGAGATCCTTAAGTCTTGTGGCTCCCCCCAATGCAACCTTATGCTTATGTTCATGCTGTAATTTCGGCATTATTGCAGTTCTTCATATGCACGGATTCGTGGGTTGTACACAAGTTGAAATAGTTCAAAACGCATTATGATTGCCGTTGATAGTCAATACACGAAAACTAATGTAAATAATTGGTAAAAACATTCCTCATTACATGTACGTCCCCTACAAGTCATGGTTTGAGAAGGAGCTTTCCAGTGGTCTTCCTGCCCTCCAGGTCGGTATGAGCCTGGATAACCTGCTCCAAGGGGTAAATATTATGGATCTTGACCTTCAGCTGCCCAGACTTGAGCAGGGCGAATAGCTCATTCACGTAGAATTCAAACTCTTCGCGGGTCTCAATGTAGCCGAACAGGGTGGGCCGAGCAACCTTGACACACTTAGGAGACAATTTCCTGTTCATATCGTTAGTACTATAGCTTTGACGGAAAGAGAAAAGAATAAACTTACGCAAGAGGCAGAGGTGGTACCGGACCACTAGCATTACCAAACCAGACGATAGTACCCTTCCTCTTAACGGCCTCCAGGCTTCCCTCCCAGGTGTCCTTTCCAACAGAGTCATAAACGACGTCAACACCCCGTCCATCAGTCGCTTCTTTAACCTTCTTCACCCAATCCTTACCCTCCTCACTACGGTAATCAATGACCACGTCCGCACCTAGGCTCTTCACTAAGGCGACCTTCTCCGGTCCACCTGCAGTTCCAATCACCTTGGCACCAAGGGATTTAAGAACCTGAGTCATAAGGAATCCAGCACCACCAGCGGCCGCATGCAGAAGGACCCAGTCGCCCTTCTGGACAGCATAGGTTTCCTTAGCAAGGGTAATAACTGTCAAGCCGCTCAGGAAGCCAGCAATGGCATCCTCATCTGTGATCTCATCAGGAATCTTGACGGCCTTGACGGCGGGGACGGCTGTGTATTCGGCATAACCACTTGTAGTCAGCCAAGCGACCCGATCGCCGATCTTGAAATTGTACGGGTTAGAACCAGGGCCCAGTGCGACCACGGTCCCGGCGCCCTCACGGCCGAGGATCTCCGGCTTGGATGATGGGTAGAGACCCGTGCGAAAGTAGGTGTCGATATAGTTGACGCCGGAGATATTGTTCTTAACGAGCAATTGGCCTTCCTGTGGGGTTGGGACGGGTTGGTCGGATCTGAACTCGAGGACCTCAGGGCCGCCGAGTTTCTCGACCACCACGGCTTTCATGGTCGTTGGGATAGACATGGTGCGGGTTTGGTGCGAGAATAGTGAGATCGGTGATGGGTTGAGCTGAGCGCGAATAGCGGCGAGGCGGACGACACTTTGGGATGTTACCTTCGAGGAAGCCGTACGAAGGAGGGAATTGAAATGGGTTCGGTTAAGATACATTCGAATTCCGGATAATTATTTATAAAAGAAGTAGTAACCACCAGGTGGATTTACGTATGTATGTATAATCTAACTCAGTATACTCGATGACTTCCTGGTTCCAGAAAACCGTCCTCTTGATTTGTCATCCAATTGCTATCTTTTGTCTCAAATCCTTGATATATCACGGCATTTGCTCAATCCATGACTTTCTCTTCCCCGCACTTCGTATTCTGCTACTATATTGCGGATCGATTCCATAGTTGTTGATGGACTGTCAGGAAAGCACCGGCCTTCACTTTGGAATTATTTATTAATAATGCGACAGACACCGTCCACATTACGTCCTTGAATTTTTTCTTCATAGTCTTGGGAATGTTGAAATTATTCTTCTGTCGGACAAGCAAGCCTGTTCCGATGGCGTCATATCCGACGGAAGAACTCCGAATCACGGGGTTTATGCATATTGTATTAGTCAGACTATGTATAAGTTCGTTATGCACCACTGCCCAAGAGAATGAGACTCTGCTAAACCAAAGCTAAACCACTACTTGAACATCCATCGGCCCAACTGTCGGATCCCATTGTGTTTTGCCTATCATCGATTCCCTTTTCATTATTAATCGTGTAACATACTACAAAGTCTACAATGACTCCATAGTCATCTGAGCATGCTTCAAGACAACTCAGCGCCGGCAATTGCCTGCAGCAGCCGCAATGGCATCATAGCCTTCTATGTCAACAAAGGCGAGATGCCGTCATGGACCCTATAATTTGGTTGGTATGGACTTCAGTAGGCAACCTGTCCGGGGCGACGAGGCCTAACAGCGACCAGCGGTCGCCAATGATGAAAGAGGCTGAGGTACTTCACGCAACGCCTCGCCTCGCCTTGTCTTCGCGTATGAGCAAGCCGTAGCCAACTGTCTCCCCCACATTATCCTGCAATATTTACCCACATTCGTTTTTGTCGTTTGACTTGAATGATAGTGATTGGTTGATTCTACTGGGGATTCAGCTGTTATCGACAGAAAATCGGCTGATCTGGCGCCTTTGCAGTGCCGTGGATGCCTTCGTCCCACTCTTACTCACATATAGATGCAAGGACATCCATCACCCTGGTCTCCGCCAAAGACTGACATTTTCTGATTTCCGTGCCTTGTTGATTTGGCCTGCGGAGAGCCAAACGTTTTCATGCTCAGCTTCTGGCCACGATCGCCGTGTGGCCTGATTCGTCGCCTTTCCGCCCAATTATGCCCCGATAGGGCCCTCAGATCGAGAGGCTGCCCGACCAGGTTTTCATTGGGACTTATATACACTTCCATGCTTTCCCCTTTTTTGGGAAAAATTCAATTATTGTATATGACAGGGAAACTCTGATAACCCCCCAATTAATATTTATAGTCCAAAGCACTAAAAAAGAAACACAGTGCCGGTCAATTCTTTTTTGTCACTCTACTTTCAACCTTTGCGGCCCAACCTGTTTCATCGGATCCAAACTTATATATCGTGGTTTCTTCGCAACTCCAAGTGAGTTCGACACGACGAATATAGCATGCCAGCTACCAGGAAATTGTCTCTAATCCACCGCGCCATTGCAATAGGATAGTCCGTGGCTCCCCCAAACCATTGTACAACATTCCCTTTCCCCTTGGATCGTCGACATCGTGCCATCAGGAGTTTTTTTCAATTTTTTCAATTTTTTCAATTTTTTGTCTTTTTTTTTTTTTTTTTTTTTTTTTTTTTTTTTTTTTTTTTTTTTTTTTATTTTTTTTTTTTTTTTTTTTTTTTTTTTGCTTTCTCTTCCTTGTGGTCAGCCATGTTTTTCTGGGACAAGCGGCCCCGGTGGCCACCCGCGCCGACGGTGGAAGACGAGATTGAATCGCTCTCTCGCGAGCAGCACGGATTGGCCAAGATTGGAGACAAGCCTGGAATCGAAGGGGTCTGCGCCAGAGGATCCATTGATCAATACCCGTTAATCATTGAAACATTCTCACTCACAACCATTGTCCAAGGTGATATCCTAGGAGGATATGGCCATGAGAGTTCATCTTCCGTTGATAGTTCAGGACCACCAACACCACCTTTGGACCCTAAGCAGCCCATCCTATTCGATACTGGCAATGCCAAACAGCAAGGATCTCAACTCAAGCCTGTGTCTTTGGCTACACCACCCATGTCTCGGGACACATCCCCTCTAGGCCAGCCACGTGCACCAGCATCTCAACCGGTACGGAATAGTAGGCCCACAACTAGCCAGCAGAGACCCTTAGACTCTAGCGCCCAGAGTTCCAAGGCACAAAAGGACAGCGCCCCAGCCTTGCATAAAGCAACTTCCAACCTAAGTCCGCTGAAAGTCACAAAACCGACTGCCCCCCTGCGCATGACTTCGCTGCCTAGCAAGCCTACTTCCTCTATTCCAAAGAGACCGGAGACCGTCAATACTAGCCGTTCTGCGGGATCGTCGACAACTAAAGTCCACCAGCCAACCCAACTCAACCCAGGCCTAACGAATAGTACAAACCCGTCTACCCCCAAGAGCACATCTTTAGTGGCAAGCAAGCCTCCTGCTTCCTCTGTCCCGAAGCCGGTGGGGGTCAAGCCTGGCCGTCCTACAGTACAGCCCACAGCTAAGGTCCAGCAGCCTCTTCCAGCTAACCCAGGCCCGCTGAAGACGACAAGCCCGTCTCTCACCGCTCGCGCATCTTCATTGGCAAGCAAGCCTCCTGCTTCTGTTTTAAAGCAGCCGGGGGGTGTCAAGCCTGATCAACCTGCAGGACAGTCAACGGCAAGGCAAGCAGCAAATGTTAAGCAACCTCTTCCGGTCAGTCCAAGTCCGCAGAAAGTTGCAAAATCATCAACTCAAGTCCTCAGTCTTCCGCTGCCAAGCAAATCTGTTTCTGCTGTGCCAGAGCGGTCGGAAAGCGCCAAGTCTGACAGTCCTAGTTCTACAAGGCTACCAGCCGCTAATGCTCAGAAGCCTAGCACAGCCCCCGGCTACCAGTCCAACTCGGCTACAATCAAGACTAAAGGCCATGGTGACGGCTCAAACCGAAGCCCGGAACCTCAGGGAAGTGAGAAGCCTTCCGTAAGGCCTTCAAGCACAATCAGTCTGGCCGAAAGACTGGAAGAGAAAATGAGGCGTCGACATGAACAAAGAGATCCTGGAAGCTCCTCCGAAGATTCACAGAAGAAATCAGGCCCACCTACCCCAGCCCACGTTGTCAAGCTGGCCAGTCCTATTGTGGCCAAAAGTGGGCCACCTGCTACCTCGTTGGGGACAGTTGGGCAAGCGTCTTGTCCACAACTTGCACCCAGAGCAGTCACAATTAACCCACCATCAATCAATAAAGGCTCACGGCCGACATCCCTCGTCGAAACTCCGGTGCCAGAGTTAGTACCCTCAGAGCCGTCTGCTCCCATTCTTCCCAAACGGACTGTTTCATTCCAGACTGGGGCGCTGAAGCCTGCTTCCTGGAGGAACCCGGAAGATACTCTCGAGCATCTGCAGTCTTTACAGATTAGTCTCCCACAACCCGTTCGCCCACCATCTCCGAGCAGGTCTGGCCAGTGTCTGCTACCCTGCCCTAGGTCTGTCCCAGTGGCCGGATACCAAGATTGGTACACGATTAAAGGCATGTCTCACTTGGACATCTGCCCTTCATGTTTGAAACAGATGCGCAAGTCGAAATTCCGCGACGTCTTCATTCTAGGAACTCCCCGAGCGCGATTGGAAAAGATCCGCTGTGCTATGAGTGAGCCGTGGGTTAGACTAGCCTGGATGCAAACCATCAATAAGCAGCTCGACCATTTGCATCTGCTATGCCAGATAGCCCAACCGCCACCAGGGACTAAGCCTTGCACCGGGCGCATTGTCAGCGAGCAATATTGGTACCGCGTCGTCGACCCGGACACAGGGGCATTCCTTCCGAAGTTCAACATCTGCTCGGCGTGTGTTAGGAACCTGAGGATCCTTATGCCCCCGCACCAGGACACATTCAAGCTATGCACCACCTTACAAGAGCGGGTCTGTGATTTCGTGACAGACAGCCCCCGCTTTGTCCGGTACATTGACCTTCTCGACATTGCTGCGAATCGTGCCGAGCAGGAACATTCCCCCCAACCCAAGCTGAGCGAATTCATGGTTTACGCTCGACGCAAAGTCGTGCTCCGGGACTGCCGCCGTAGCCGACTAGCGCTTAATACGTGGCACTACATACCGCAACTGCCAGAGCTCACGGTATGCGAAGATTGCTATGATGACGTGGTGTGGCCCATGGTCAAAGCCAATTATCCTATTGCTCGGAAATTTTCAGCCATGATGAGACTGCCCCCGGGCGACGGGCTAGCTAGCTCCCGGGAGGCGAGTTGCCAGCTATACTCTCCTCGCATGCGGCTCAAATTCCGCGAGGCCGTAGAGGAAAACGACCTAGCTTACCTGAACATGATCACCCTAAAACGGTATGAAGCTGAACAACACTACCGTAAACAAAAAAACCAGCTACTGGAAGACGAGGAGCGGGGATACGACTGTGAAGCAGAGCTAAGGAGAAACCTGGAAGAGTGGAAGAGATGGGAATGAGTCGCCGGCGACTTGAATCCCCTGTTCAATAACCTGTTCATTCGGCTGTTTGTTTGCCCAAAAAAAAAGTGTACTCTTCGCAACACCCAGGTGTATTCTAAATAGATATATGTACAACAAACAAGAGAAAGAGAAAGAAGGGGGGCGGGGGAATATATATACCCAAACATAAACGCTTCAAAATTGAACCCTCAAATAGAAATCAAATCAAGTCCTCCCCCCCCTCCGGGCTGAGAAAGAGCATTCCCAGCCCTCACCAACTCCGAAACAGTCACGATCTCATATCCCCTCCTCCTCAACTCCGGCAACACATACCTCAACATAGGCACCGTCCATTCCCGCCGATCATGACAGATAACAATGCTCCCCGGCCGAACCATACTCAAAATATGCCTCGCATTCACCCACCACCACCCCACCTGCGCATCATGCGGATACACACTCCCCAACACAATCCGATACCCCAAACGTCCCAGCAATCCCCTCATCCGCTCACTGAAGAACCCAGACCCCGGCCGAAACCACCTCTCCACCGGTTCCCGCACCCCAACCGCCGAGTACGCTGCCCGAATCCGATCCTGCACGGCCCCAACCTGCGCCTCCAGCTCGCCATCGCTGAGACTCCGACTCGGCTCATCCCGCATCGCATGGTTCGCCAGCTCATGGCCCGCTCGGACGAGCTCGTGCAGTTCGCCTTCGCGGCCGGGGATCTGCGACCCGATGAGGAAGAAGGTGGCCTTTGCGCTGTTTGCGGCGAGGAGGGAGCGGATCTCGGGCGTGTGGGTTGAGGGCGCGTCGTCGAGGGTTAGGGCGAGGAGTTTTTGGGAGGTGGGTAAGGGGACGTGCCAGAGGGTGTCGGGCCAGCGGTGTTGGAAGTAGCGGATTAGGAGTGTAGGTGGTTTGTAGAGGAGATAGAAGGGGGTAAGGAGGAAGAGGGTTAGGAGCATTGGGAGGAGCATGGTTATTAGGAGGCGTTTGAGCTTGCGGCGGGGGAGGAGCATGCTTTTGTTTTCTTTTCTTTTTACTTTTTTGTTTTTCTCTTTAGAGGGTTCGGTTTGTCGTTTGGTTGTGAAGCTGGTGGTAGTTGAAGTTGATGGGTGATGACGGACCGGGAATGTGTGGTTGGTTGGTTTGGTATGTATATGTATGTTATGTTATGTATGTATTGAAAATGGATGTATTGTGGAGATAAATGTATTGGCCTACGGCCACTATCTACCTTTTCTGTTGTTCACTTTGTGATCAGCGGCAGATCTCCAACCCATCTTGATGGCAATTATATTGGAGCCAGAAAGAAAGGGAGCCGCGAAACGTACTGCGATCACCACACGACAGCCACGGGCCCGCCACGACAGAAGAATTTCGCGCTTCGAACTGAATCGCCCCGTTGGCGGCGCAATTCACGTTCTCGAGCCCGTCTTTCCCTTCCCCGGCGCCGCTGGGCTTGTCTCTGCTGGCGGAGGTGGGGATCTTTGCAGAGGAGACGCTTGAACCAGTTCATTATATGACTTTGTCGTCAATATTCCCGGTGCGATATTTAGTGATGGTAGGATATTGAAGTCGGGACTTTCTTGTTTTGTAGAGAGGAAGAATGATCATGTGGAGATCTACGAGTACTATACGGAGGATCCAACTGATTTATATGCTCCCACAAGCCGAGAGGGTCTTGAGTTGCATGCGACCATTCAGTGGCTGTGTGTTTTGCGCCCGATGAATGCCAAGGACACCGTTCTGTTTAGTTGGCATGGAAGGTCAGACCTTGACCTCATATGTTTCATTGCTGCGTTTTGCACCATGTTGATAGGCTAGGATGGACATATTTGGGGGCCAGAAAAGGGCCAACATAGATAGACGGGGTAATATGGATATCGACATTTATAACTATCCCGTTATGCGATGGATTTTCATCCTTTCAGAGTATATCAGCTTAGGAATGCCAACTGAAGTAGGAAGGCCTGCTACCCTTCTTTCCGTGATGGTAGGGTCCTGAATTGGTCGTTCATCATCTGAGCGACCTGGGATATTGAGAGCATCGACAAGTCGTTCTCGATGTACTCTAGTAATAAACGGGCCCAGACTCTCCGCAGTTATTGCACAATAAAGAATATGAGGCGTACGGACTGATGTGTGCTGTTCGATGAATCGCATCATCGGAGCCTCCCTCCTAATTTTCTCCTCTGAGGGAACAGTCCCATGCGACCTCGCCAACGCTTCTCCACGGAGGTGGGCGCTTCGGAGATGATATGCGTTATTAACATAGGGCGCTCGAGTTAAGAACAACAATACAATAATTAACAATCCGGGAAGAAGCTTGATGTAGCAACAACGATAAGCGCCGTGTCCGTCAGTCCAGTCTTGGTTATGTGTCATAGTCTTAAGTTTTCTTTGGTGAGATTGCGTCGACATTGTTCGCTTCTATGTGATTCAACGTAATTGATATGGGCTTCTACCCTCCCCCATTCGCCTATAACGGAGACATTATACGCATGGATAAAGGTTGAGGAATTCTTATCCAAAAAAAAAAGATATCTGATGTTATTTCCGATCAATAATGTTGACAAACACAATTCGAGACGGAGACCAGCCCATGACAGGAGATGAGCAAGCTCGATATATACCGGAAAAGTAATATTACAGAACGTTGCTAGTCTCAATACTGGGCAGAGTCCTCGATGCCAATGAGAAAAGAGACAGCCACGTGCCGTGGGCGCTGCCGTGAGCGGTCCTGGAGTGTTTCGTGTGTGCCCAAAGGAATCGGTGAGTACACAGGGAGTGGAAGCGGTTGGATTATATGAACCCCAGATAAAAGCGGCGACATCTGGAAGGGGGAATCACAATCATCAACTTGGTGGAAAACATCCCACCTATACTTAGTAGCTGCCACTTTACCCAACCAATCCCACCACCTCGCCGGGCCATTTCTTCCCCCAGACGATCGCCCGAGGAGGCACTCGTCCTCCCACCGGGGCCAGAGCACGAATCTTGCCCTTCTCACTATCCACGTCGGCCACATACAGGAATCCCATGATACTGGCATCACGGACGTCGGCCGCACTGGCTGTTGGAGGGGCGTTGGTGATTGCGAGGAGGGAGTTGGCGAGTGTGGTTGGTGCCGGGGGTGAGATTTTTTTCAGTGGGACATTAGTAGCGGCGCCTGGAGTAGCGCTCTCAGTAGTGGAGACTATGCCGGGCAAGGGTGTAGCACGAGAAGCCTCATCTTGCTGCTGTGTATGGCTGGTCTCCGCGTCGTTACCTCCACCAGGAAGGAACGCATCACTGGCGCCGAATTGAGACGGATCATACTCATCTTCATCTTCCTCTAGCGATGCAATAGTATAATTGAAGATACCCAGCGAGTTGAAGTCGAGCTGTTGAGCGTGCGGAGAAAGCGTGACGTTGGTGGTAGACGATGCAGAGAGCGAAAGAGCGGCAGACGCGGTGGAAGGAATGGGGTTTCCAAAGAAGTATGTCCGGATTTGGGACTCTCGTACTCCCTTCATGAATGCTGCGTCTCGATCTACACATCCGCCCGATTTGGAGAGCTTCACGACAGTAATGCGCTCATCTGATGCGACGGCAGACGCACTAGATGTCGGCTTGTTATCGTAATTCTTCATCATGAGGCTATATAGACGTTCCGAGCCAATAACCAGAATAGTAGTAACTGCCATCTGTCAGTGCCTGCATACCTTATATCTAGGACAGTCCAAGAAAAAACCATACTCGAAAACTCCGTCACAATGTGATTGATCGTCTCAAGGCTCCCGGGTTTACCCTGACTTAATACACCAGGCGTATCAACAATGACACCTGTTTCTCTGGCCTCCTCATCCTCCGCCATACGTCCCATCACCGAGAGCGCTAACCGTGACACAATAGGTCTATAAACAGACCCCTCTGCCTCAAGCGGATTCTGCATCGGATAGAAATAGACCAAAGGCAACTTCACAGGAACAGCACTCGGCCCGGACATAGGACTACTCCCCCATCCCTCCTCCACATCAATCATAGTGCGGAACGCAGTAGCCGTCAACGTGCCAGGGACACTCAGCATACCCTCGTTCGGGTCCAAGTTAACGACGATAGGCTGTCTCTCCACCTTTGTAGCGTACGCCGTCAATATCTTCGCTACACTCGTCTTTCCTGCATTTTCCGGCCCTAAAATCAGCACGCGCGGCCCATCTTTCCCTGTTGCCTTCGCCTCCTGGCGCAAGGCTTCCAGCGCAAAATGCACATTCGCGTATTCAACCATCGGTGTCTCCTCCGCCGTGTACTCGCTTTGGCAACCCCCCGCGCCGAGACCGCGAGCTGTCGCGCCGTTCATTCCGCCCGGTGCTAGTCCATCAACGGCTGGCCCTGTATCCCCCGCGCCTACTTCCAGTGTACAGCCATGCCAGGTGTATATTGCGCCTTTCGTTCCGGAGAAGGTGTATGTCTGAGATGGCGCGAGTTCGGTGCCAAAGAGTTCTGCGGTGCCGGCGAGGAGCTATTGCGATTGGAGATGAGGATCAGTCCAGTCGTGCTATTACTTCCATAGACGGGTAGCAACTTGACTAGTAGTTGAGCTACTCACCTTGACTCGAATCACTCTTCCGAAAGCAATCTCGAATCTCCACTCCGAGCCCTTGGACAGACTGATTTGGGACGGTGGTGCGGGCGCAAATTGGTTGTCCGCCGAAGGTTGTGTGAGGTCTAGGCCTGGGAGAGACATGGCATTGCTAAGACGGATAGATCTTGTTTTATAAAAACAGAAAGAAAAAGAAGAAGAAAAACAATCAGTTTTCTATTGAACCAAAGCCAAACACTTCGGGGGAGCTTGAAGATCATGCGGATAAATGGTGACGGTGTTTATCATGTTTGCAGCGGACAAGTCCAGACTTAACTAGTGGGGAGCATATCTATGTAATATATTATGTCCCGTTAATCGAACACACTCCCCATTCATTATTAATGTCCCTCTGCAGTCCTTTCTACTACGTAACAATTAATACATTCTGCAACAGGATTGCAGCATGTTCTTTCATTCATTGCAGCCTATACTTTTCCCTCTACGGAGCCAAATGTATTCAGCTTGGAGCTGAGAAGGTACGTAGAAGATGAGCACAGAAAAGCTTACGTTACTGACTCTCGAAGGCTACGAATCTTTACATATGAATACAGGAAGCCTATATGAGGATAAATCTACCGGGTACCACTTACTAGCTTCTGATAAATGAAGAAAAGAGCAATTGGCCGTGGTCCTCTTCCTTGATTAACGATCAAGGTAGAAAAGCCAAATACCTAGGCTTAGTTCGTCGATCTGCAGGAGATCTCCAGAAATGGATTCTCGGCTCCTGGTGGGTGAGAGATGACGAGGGTCGAGTCTTTTTGCTTTTGTACAATTTGTCTGTTCAGGTAGTCTCTTAGATCAGCACTTATTGTACTGTCCAAGTACACATTATTAGAAGTTAGAGAGCTGTTTGAGTGGGGGATACAATCATAGATTAACACCGATATATCATGTCATTTTTCTCTGGCATTTGCATTTCACATCCTATGCTACCGAACCATAAAAGCCACCCCGAGTACCCACAGCAAATTGAAACAAGGATTATAGAGAGTATCCGATATCCAGGAAGAATAGGAAAATGAGCAGGTAGAGAGTGGAACGAGATATCAATTTCTCTTTCGATCTCCAGGACCACCAGGGGAGGAAACAAAAAAACAAAATAAATCAAGAACCACCGTTTAAGTGGATAGTGCTCTCCTTCTTGCAACCAAAGCGCAAAAATTAGAAAAGGGTAAGGTGTAAATACGATACATCAGGGATCACTGTGTGGGTAAAATCGCAATGCGCATCGAAGAGTGGATGTTGAAATAGGGTATACAGATCGAAAGACTTGATTCCTTTCTTGGAGAAAGGCGTACACAATCTAGAACCTAAGGTGAATGGATGAAGAGGATCGGAAAAGGAGATTTTCTTCGATGGGAAACGGGACGGTCTACTCGGGACGATCGTTCCATTGGAAGGTGCCCATACAGCTGGTAGTATAACCTCTAGAAGAAATAAGGGATCGAGGCTCTGATAATAGGTTAGACTTCAGAGGTGGGCAGAAAGCAGGGGGGCAAGGGACTTACGCAAGTGCAAACGCAGCAGTGACGCCGACGAGGGCACGGTTCCTAACGCGCTCACGCTTAAGCTTCTCTTCCAAGACCTTCGCTCTCTTAGTCCGCAGAGCCCTGGTCTCTTCATCTTCTTCATCTTCGCTGAGAGCTTCTTCGGGCTTGCGTTTTTTAGCAGCCTTTGATGGTGCTACTGGCTCTTGTTCTATGCTCTGAACTTTAACAGCCTCTTCTACCATTTCCTTGGCCTTAGCTATCATTTGTTCGGTATCCTCCGCAGATGGAGCATCAGGAAGGGTGATAGGCAGCTCCACCGAGACAGTGGTCTGGGTCGTTCGCACATCCTTGGCTTCATCGGCAGTGGTCTCAACGTCCACCTTGACGTTTTCCTCCTTAATCTCCTTCGTTTCCTTAACCTCCTTAGCTCGGGCAGCTTTGGAAGGCGTCTTCGTAGATTTTTGTGTCGGAGCAGGCTTCTTAGGGGTAGGGGCCATCTTCTCTTCGTCGTCTTCCACGCTAGGTTGGATAGTGTCATTCACTGAGCCGAACTCGGTAGTAGCATCCAACGCTGACTGAAGGTTTGCATTTGCTTCACTAGTCGCCACAATGCTTGCTTCCTTAACCTCCTTGGTGTCCTGAACTTCCTTGGCATCCCTGGTTCTCGTGCTCCTGGGCTTGCGCGGGGAAGCGACCTTTTTGCTAGGAGAAGCAGACCGGCCTCTTCTCAGGCGCGGCGTGGGCGCAGTCAGCTGAGTTGGTGCCTCGATCGGAGGCAAGTCAAATCGAGGAGGCGGAGTGATGTGCATATGCTTCTTTGTACTGGATGGGGTCTGAACAATATCCGTGGGGTCGAGCAATGCTCGTACCCAGTCGTACATCTGATACTCCTTCGCTAACTCAAGAGCTAATAGGTAGTTAGAGATAAACCCTCGCAGATTACATCAATCTAACAGACTTACCTAGATTAGGTGAGATCCACACATTCCCAGCGATCTCGTCCTCGCTCGTTTCCTTGCGGTTTTTCACATATTCACGCTCCGACCGTTCTTCCTCCAATTTCGCCCAGGGAAAGGCAATCTTGAACATTCCGGTAGCGCTGACGTATCCATCTTTGCTCCGCCGCTGTTGTGGGTAAAGAGGCTCGTGCGTTAGTTATTGGTTCTATGCGATGTCGCTGCTCTGATTGACAGGAACAGGGAGGCGACTTACCATCAGAAAGTACGTCTCCGGCTGTTGCTGGGTATTATGTGAAGGAAAAATTTCGGAACCTTTGAGGTCCCTTGGCAATTTGACGCGCAGATGCGCATATTCAAAAGGTCCAAGATTCTCCGGCTTCGTCGCATTCGACGTGCCGATCACTGTAGGTCTCACTGTAAGGTTTGTTTTTCCCAAGCGGCGGCACCGCAAGAGCTCTTCATCTGTTGTCGCCAACGAGTGCATATGTCAGCCAGGCGCAAATTTTTTAAACCAAAGGGAGTTGTGAGGCGAGCGAGAGTCAGAGTCGTGCGCTAAAATGATGAAATGACTTACAGCTAGGAGTCTCAGCTGGAAGGATGTGAGGATTGTTCTTCTTTGGAAGTGAGCGCACCATGATGAATGGTCACCTTCGTTTAATGTCAAATAAGAGCTGAGAGGATCGAATGTTGTGGCAGCGGCTCCCGCGGTGATTTGAGACAAGATGCGACGCCAGAACGTCGGCCACGTTGCAGGCGCGTCTCTCGCCGCTTTACTCGAGGCTAAGTTGATAATACGTCACCACGTAGGGCTCACTGATGATATTATCAGGATCGACTTGGCGGACGATTAAAAATGTGGAACACAGACGATAGTCCCGCGACAACCCCGGCGATAATCGACTCGAAATCAATACGACACGATAAAGTAGGGGAGGAAAATAATAAATGGAGGTTCGAAATGGGACGGGTGATTGCTTCTGTACGCCCAACGTACCATACCAGTTCCGGCTTCAGTATTACGCTAATGGGTGTCAAGTGTGCCATCCACCAATGACCATCTCGTGTGGTCATGTGATAATCCGATAGTGGTAAGAATCGACGTCCACTGGCTGATCCCCGGTATCTGGTGAGACCAATCCGTGTATGCTGTATGTATCAGTGCCTTAGAGCCTGACCATGTTGGTGGGAGAATCGGTTGCCCCGTGACGGGAAATACGTTGAGGAATAGTTCATCACAGAGATCAAATCCACTTATCTCTCGAAAGTCGATGTTATGGATCACCCTTTCAATTGAGGTTTTTTTTCTTTCTCCTTTTTCTTGTCTCACGCCTCTCTAGAGAAGGTTCAGCCACACATCCAGTCAATGCATGTACACATAAGAGAGAAAGAGAAGCAAAAGTCTCAGATGAAAATCTCAAGATGGCTTCTGAGGAGACTATCTTGACATCACCACCGAAGTTTACAGCTACACCGACTGGTGAAGTACACCTTTGAATTCCTGTACCTACAGTACCGATATGAAGTCAATCCGAGAGTATAGATGTCATATCCAAGCCATTGATCTATAAATTTTATATAAAAAAAAAGGAAAAGAAAATGAAAATCCTAGACAGTATTATTATTTTAAGGTTGTCTGTTAACCACGTCTTAGACAATAAAGAGTAGTAGATAGAGGTACAGTACCTTCAACAAGTCTGGGCTCTCTTTCCCCCTGGAGTTGTCCACCGCCTTTCTTTCTTCCCCACTGGGTGGGCTGAGAGCCAACGAATCCCCCGCCAGTGCTTGACTACCAAAACAAAACCGCCCCTCTTAGTCCTCATTGTTGCTGTTCTTTTTTTGCTCCTCCCACCTAAACTCTTGCAGAAATAATTAGACTATCTTGCTTGTGGACTCTTTTGAACGCTACGTATATTCTGCCCCCTCCTCCCTTGATCTACTTCTACAGGAGATCTGTCCTTGATCCTATACTTCCCCTTCAGCTATACTACCAGATACACTAATACCCCGCCAAGAATCCACCAACACAATGCCTGACCACGACGAAGATCTCGTTGCCTCCAAGACCGAGGGTTTCAAGGTTGGAGAGAAGAAGTCAATCAACGAGTATGCTGAGCTCGGTATGTGGATCTCCCCGTCCATCGTCGAATCCCGAATTCCACTATGCACCGATCTGCCTCGTGGCATCGCCCCTTGCCGTTATGCAGAACGGGAACTATGGGAACCCCCAATCCCTCATTCCAGCTGTCACTCGAGCTAGCTATGATCCATTCCACCCCTGCACGCCCTGAACTTTCTGCCGTGACCCAAATGCCCGTACTAAACGTCCCATTCTATCCCCAGATAAGAATGACGAATCCCTAAACCGCTGGAAGGCCTCCCTGGGTCTCAACACCGGCACCCCAATCGGAGATCCCAGCGATCCCAGAAAATGCATCATCAAGTCTCTGGCCCTGGAGGTGGACGGTCGTCCTGATGTAGTCATCGACCTTTCCGCCTCCGATGCGCTCACGACTCTTAAGGACAAACCATTCACCATCAAGGAGGGTGCCACGTACTGCGTCAAGGTCAACTTCCAAGTGCACCACGAAGTCCTGAGCGGTCTGAAGTATCTGCAGGTCGTGAAGAGGAAGGGTCTCAGGGTCAGCAAGGATGAGGAAATGCTGGGCAGCTATGCCCCCAACACTACGGATAAGCCCATGTACGAGAAGAAATGTAAGTTTGATGCGTCTACATTCATGTGCGGTGAGGTATTAACGGCCGATTTCAGTCAATGCCGAAGAGGCCCCGTCCGGTATAATCGCTCGTGGTCACTACAACGCAGTCTCTAAATTCATTGACGATGACGACCACACTCATCTGCAGTTCGAGTGGTCGTTTGATATCGCAAAGGATTGGTAAATCTGACGGTTCCCGGATGAACTACGACTCTGTCATGACCAGCATTCTTTGAAAATTTGCAAGCGTTGTTGTACGGAACTGCATTCTTGGAATTTTTGACCTTCTTTCAGAGCTACACGTCCATATGACAAAATGTTGATTGTCGTATATAGGTCCTAAGAACTGGATCCTACCCTATAACTATTTCGAAAATCAGAGAAAAAATAAATATACTGCATAGATATACATTGCCCCGTGGGTTCATTTGTTGGTGTGCTTCGCCGCCATTTAATGCTCCTTCTACTTCCAGATTGCAATGCTGTCTATTAATGCTTCACCATCATCTGCCAAAACTCCAAACAAAAAGAAAAGGATTGCATTGAATAAATGGAACATGGTATGAAATAAAAAATATATGAAGGAGAAGAAAGGGTATCACAAAAAGTAGTCAATCACCGGGTTCTGTCCGTCCTTATTCTGCTGTGCTTGTTGTTCGCCGCGATGGACATCGTTTTCCGGAGCCGCATCGAAAATGTTGAAAAACCTCTCACCAGTATCACTGACTTCGAGGACGCTAGCAAGATTACCACACCGATAACAGTAATTCGGTGCACTCCACACGGTGCTCAGCCGGTCATCGTAGAGAATCTGATACCCCTCCTGACATAACTGGTGCGCCCGCAGAATATGGGACATGCTGTTAACCTCGAGGAATTTCCGAACAACCTGTGCACCAAATGTATACCCAGCTCCCCTTGGAGAAAGGGAGAACTCATCGCGTTCGGTATCCGGGTCGGACCAGACCAGGTCGGCCATGGGGCCCTCATGTGGGATCTCGCGAAATCTGTCGATAATTTTGATCTGGTCTATGGAGTGGATGGAAGGTGATAGGCCGCCGTGCACGCAGAAAATCTGATCGTTAATAACCACACTCAGGGTGAGGAAGTCGAACATATCCGTGAAATAATGCCAAACGTTAGCGTTGCCGTATTTCCGTGCGCACTCGGTATAGAATCCGTAGGATTGTGTGACACCACGAGACTCGTGATTTCCTCTAATAAGATGTACTCGTTGGGGGTATCGTAACTTCAAGCAGATAAGAAGAGAAATCGTTTCCACACTGAACAAACCACGATCCACATAATCACCTGCGTGGATTGAGACATGTCAGCTTACCAACCAACCGAGGCCAGAATCAATGACTTCGACTGACCTAGGAATAGATAGTTTGTGTTTGGGCAGAACCCTCCGATCTTGAATATCTCAAGCATATCGAAGAACTGTCCGTGGATATCTCCAACCACTGTCACTGGAGCCGCAATATGCACCACATTGCTCTCCTTCATCAACAGCTCTTTAGCCTTGGCGCATATTGCCTCAATCACAGAGTCTGCCAGCAACTCTTTTCTATAGAGCCTCTCTATACACTCGTCCAGGTCAATACTTGCTGCCACATAATGAAAATTAGCACAGGAAGCCGTAAATAAATGGTGGGGTGCATGGATATCGACTCACCCGGTAAGCCAGGCATTGCGTAAGGTTTAATCTAATGGATGATCGGAAGACACTTTCTATGTTGGTACAGGATAACAATGATGAAACGAATAGGCGAAACCGTGAGATATTGTTCGCACACAAAGTGTCACTGAATGCGTCGGGATAGGGAGCGGAAAATGAACAGTGCGTAGGTCGACTCGAGAAAGGATAGTATGTCTGTGTGAGAAGTTGCTGCAGTAGTTCGCATCATGACCGACAAAGATGCAGCAGGGATATATGTGAGCGGCGCCAACCCGGTGCGGCTCAACGGCTAGATTATGGCAAGAGAGATACTCAGATAGGGTTCGGGTCTCGTCATTAAGGATTCAGCTAGGTCACTTTGAAAATTAATTCATTGTCAAGAGAGGATCTGGACACATAGATAGCCCTCGGTCACAAGTAGCGGTGCCACTAGCATGTGGTGGATTCAATTAATTCCAATTATGCCGTATTACACCGCCTGTTCTTCGACTAGCCTTGGTGAGCACGTGGGATGCTGTATCTTGTAGTTTAATTATTGTTCTTCAGTAATTAAATCATTCTCCTGAAGCTAGAAGTCTGTCTCTAGAACCTTAGCCGCCTTTTCTTATTAGTAGAAGTATTTGCATTGGGCTTTATCAGTTATATTCTATATGAATTTCTATACCAAGATTCATACTTTCAAACGTTCCTAATCCATCAAAAATAAATCACTCGAGGTGCCTTAAAACCGAGTATTACTCTGCGTTAGGAGTTGTCTTGCTTCTTCACGGTCATCTGAATCCGTCTCCTCTTCGGTCCCTTCTTCTTCTTCTTCTTCTTCTTCCTCGTCATCTTCCTCCTCATCGTCAGTCTCCTCTTCGGTTTCCTCTTCCTCAGAGTCTGTTACCTCTTCCTCCGACTCTGTTTCTTCTTCGGTCTCATCATCCTCTAGCCATTGGTCAAGAGACTTGTTCTTTGCCGAGGAGGTCGCTGCTGGCATGCGCCCGTTCGGCGGCCTGTTTGCAGATGCAATGGTGTGTTCGTGCTCACGTAGAGCTTTGTCAAGACGCTCACCTGCAGTCACGGGTGCTTTCTCTACAAGCTCCGGTTTAATATCCGGTTCCCGGAGACTAGGATCAGGTTCCTTTCCTAACTCAACCCAGTCAGGGAGGTTTTGATAGCCAGAGAGACCATGGGGGCCCGCATCTGGGCCAACAATCAAGGTGGAAGAGCCAATTAAGAGATCCTTTCGTGTTTCGGATGGGCTAGGGGTGTGCGGTACTGGTTTTGGTGCGAGAAGTAGCAAGTTCGCAAGCTGTGTCGAAGAAGGTGAGGCCAGAAGCGCCTTGTACATTCGGGCACGGTCACGTAGATCATATGAAGTGTCATACCTAGCAAGGAGGAGGAGATATCGCCAAAGGAGAGTGGTCCTGTCTTCCTCCGGTTCAGCCGGCTGTTGATCGTGACTACTTCTTTCAGTTTTCTCGTCGTCCTGGTCTTCAGTCCATTCATTCTTATACTGTTGTTCGACCTTGGGACTTGCCTGAGGTTCTTCCTTGGGAGGATTCCGTAACAGGTGGTGTAGGTATACTTTAGCTCCTAGGAGCATAATCTGTTGTTTCACAACTTCTGCTTCATTGGCAAAATCCTTTGCCAGAATTCGAAGGACATCTGGTGCAATATTCCTCTCTGGCTCTGCACCTGCAAATTCTCCTACTAACCATACAATAGTCGCCCTAGCGTCCGGGTTATTCGTCAATCCAAGATGTTTCACCAACTCAATGACTGTTTGCTCATGCGAAGCCGGGTCTTGCTGGATTAGATGTCTGATGACAGTCAATGATTCCGACACTAGGTTGTCGTCTAAGCTTATAATCTGATTCAACAATAGGCGAAGACAATGACCAGCTGTGCTAGGGTCACTTTGTGCACAGCGCCCAATGGCGCGAACACTCTCGCGCACCAGCTCTGGATCCGTTCCCTGTGAGAAATGTTCGAGTTCGCTAATGATCACGCCCTTTAAGTGTAGACCACAGTGAGGGAAAATGATTGTGAGAATCTCGAGTTTTAGGCGCCATATATGAGGTGGATCTGAGGCGTGCACCAAGAAATGAGAGACGTATTTCCTGAAAGGAGCTGGATGGCGCAAGCAAACAGCGACAATATTGTAGAGAACAATATGCTGCACGTCTTGGGGGCTTCGGAGGAGAGCTACTAAGGGACCAACAACGGCAGAGAGATATTCCGAGGGGGCGAGATAAAGGAAGCTGCGGACAATATTCACAATGACGGCGGAATTCCGATTTTGCAAAAGCAGCTTGCAGGACCGTAGAAACAGATCAAGATCAGGATCTAATATGGGTACTTCGTACTCCCTCCCTCCCTCGTTGTCTCCTGTATCCTCATCATCGTAGAAGCCCTTCGATACCGCTTGTTTAACTTTTTCGGTTTTAGGGGGGAAACACTTTCGAGCATAGATCGTTAAAAGGCGTAATGTTGCGATCTGGCCCCATTCATCCATATCAACAAGTTTCTTGACCAAGCCGCGGTAGTGCTTGTGGATAAGATCGATCCTATCGGGACAAACTTCTAGGAAAGCGGAGACGGCAGGTCCAGCGACAAAATATTGGGTATCGCCAAGCAACGTAGAAAGGTAGCCTATTAGCTGTGGTAGAGTATTTGGATCTAGGCGATAGCACTTCGGAATGGCCAATGCTGCTGCTTTGCGGACATGCGGGCTCATATCGCCGCACCCACGTTTGATTGCAAGAGATACGATTTGACTGATAACCGGGACTCTGATGCCCGACATTGTACGAAGAGCCATGGCCCGTACCTGGGGGCTCTGGTCCGTAAGTGACTTTTGTATCGTATTGATGGACAAAAGCGCAAGGTCGGGCTCTGCCTCGGCATGATGAACCAGGTAGATGTAAACAAGTTTCTTGACCTCAATATTCGCATTTGCGACATTCTTGACGACTGCGGAGAAAAAAGGAAGAGAAGGTTCGCCACGGTACATCAACTAATTATGGGATGCCAGGCAATGTCAGGAACAGGACCAATTCGGTCAAGGTGGAGTGCGTCCATACCGTAATTACCCTGCGCATACCGTCCAGGACTTCCCGATCATTGCGACTATCGAGAAGCTTTTTAATGTGTGAAGTGGCCAGATTACGAGACGTAAGACCCGTGGTGGACCCTCTGGTTATTGCTGCCGACTGCGCTGCCTCGAGGGTGAGCTCTCGAGCTACAAACAGTCAGCTACCTAATTCGCCTGAATCTACCTCGAGATATGACCGCGATAACTTTACCTGTTTCCAGCATGGACGATATCCGGGAGATAGTCTCCATTTTTACCCGCAAAGCCCTCTCTAGAGCGCATAAGAAACTCTGACTTAGAAGAAGGGAGGGGGGGGTGTAATGTCCCTAATGAGGACAAGGGAGGAGGGAGAGTTGGAAGTTCGCGGCGGAGAGCCGGCAGGTGACGAACGATAAATAGCTACTCGTCTCCCCGCAGCTCCCCAATTAGTTCAATTTACCGGCATCGCGCAATTTACTTACTATTTACCACTTGGACAATGTGCTTACTTCAAGAGTTTAAATAAAAGATTTCGCATTCATCAACAATGATGACATGCTTCATTTCATCAGTTCCAGTTAGCTTTTCATTCGAAGAATCTTCGCGACCATGAGATTAAACCGCCATATATATCTTGGCACCTGGGTGACGGACTTTGTGCAATACCTTCTCGACTATGACGCCAGTACAACACTCTTAATCGTCTGTTCTACCAGAGAAGCTTTCCTTAATCAATTGCTCGTCATTACGCGCGTTCACTCAAGAGAGACTGCAGAGAGCCACCCAATACTTACAAAATCTCTCGGATTGCTCTCAAATTCAACCCGATTCAAGATAGCCTACTGCCCAACCCTCGAGAACCTTCGAGCTTATCTCTCTGTGCTACCTCTATCTGGCAACTCTGCACAGAAGACTGTCGCTGAATATCAGGAAATGCGGAGACCACTGATGGCTATCCTCGACCTAGTGTTTGTGCATACTCAAACTCCAGAGTTTTCTGCTCAGGGTTTATCTAGGACATTCGCGACTGCCGTTGAGGCTGCTTCAAGGGAGGGCATGGATCTTGTGCTCTGCGAATGTCAAGATGCTGCAAATCCTGTTGACGGCGAACGCGGTGAGGTTCTATGGTATACTAATATCCCATTGCTTAACAATTCGGTGCGAAGGGGGGAAAGTACTTGGCTTGGGCGTAGTGTGCCCGTGAATAGAGTTGTGCAACGATGGTTTCAATTCAACGAACCAAACCACTCTGCTATGGATATGTGATACATATGATGAGATGAACAGAAATGGATTGAAATGGTGGTAAGCCATGGAACTATGTGCTATCGTTTTTCCAGTGTAAACCGCAACCAACCGGGTATCCTAGAGCTGACCTTATAACTCCTTAAACATAAATAATAAGAATCCGAGACTCATATACACTTTTCCATCTCTGTGATATAGAGTTTGATATGCGATTCCAACCTCAGATATTCATCATGGGCGCTTTGGATCTCGCTTTCGATGTTTTCCTTAAGGTCCACCATCTAATGCGAGTTAGTTATATGAAGGACGACAAAGGGTTTGTTGAGGCCATACCTTTTTCTCGGTTTGCTCGATTCTGATCCTCCTTCTCTCCATGTCACGCTGCTTTTCTGCACGCTCTTCACGAAGCTGATTCTGGACCTCTCGAAGTTCCTTCATTCTAGCTTGCGCTGCCTCTGCCTTCTCTTGCGCGTTCTTACGCAAAGCTTCGATTCTTTCATTCCACCTTGCTAGCTGTCGCTGGAGTAATTTTTCTGTTTGTTCCACTTCTCTCACGCTGTTACCTCTTTCCGAGATCGCTTCCTTGTTCCGAGATGCTCGTGCTTCTTCGTCCTCTTCCTTCTGCAACTCCACAGAGATGTCTTCAAGAAGTTTGACACAAGCCTGGACATCATTGCTGACGACAGTAAATGTATCCGACGAAGTTTGAAGTGCTCTCGCCCTTTTTTCCATTGCATCAATCTGAGCCTTCTCTCGTAGTAGATTCTCCGATAGCTCGGTTAGGGATGCCTGAAGATTGGCCGGGCTTTCCATCGCGTAGGGTCGAAGCTTTTCGACTTCTTGTCGGGTGCGCACCACTTTCTCTGTCTTCTCCTCCAATTGCGTTTGTCGTCGGGCTTTATCTGCCTTGACTCGTTCAAGTGTTTCAGCAACCCGCTCCTGGTTTCGTCTCAATTCGAGCAGTCGCGCTTTAAGCTCGTCATTTCGTCTGACTTTATCCTTCACCTGGGCCTCGTTAGCCCTTAGGTTCCGGCGCATTTCTTCAAGGCGCTGTTCCATTTCTTGATTCTCTGCATATAGGGCATCGATCCGTGACTTGGTCTTTTCTGACTTGTTGAAATGCTCATCAATGACGGCCGTTTGAGACTCGCGAAATCGGACAAAATTGATAAGATAAGAGAATATTTTAACCAGGCGATCGTGCGTAGGCTTGGTAAGGTCTGTAAATGTGAAATCGTTGACCCCGCACTATAAGCCAAGGAGAGTTAGTTACCGTCGCTGGATAGACAAAAACACATGCTGACAGGGGCCACACACCTCCATTAGAAGCTTTCTTAAACTGACAAAGAAACCCATAAGGTTCCTTGTATCGGTTGGAACAATATCGGGAAAGTCGCCGCCAATATCGTCTGCCGCTGCGCGCATCGCGGGTTCGACCGCTTCACGGGTGAGGTTCATGAGAAGCTCAGCGAACCATTCGAATACCATTTGAATCTGTTGTGGGTTGGGCTTGATCAGGTCTGCAGAAGTGAAGGGTATGCCAATATCGTTGATACATCCTGCGATCTCTTTATCGGGCTATTATATCTGTTAGAACAGAAACAATTTAATGAATGAATTAACGCTCATGTCGAGCCATTTACTAACCAGGCGCATTAACGCATCGTTCTCATCTTCCTTCTTGCGCCCTCTACCGTGATGCTGTTGGGAGCTATGGAATTGCTGGCTCATTCGGTGATGATACGCCATCTTGTCATACAGACCTCTGAAGTCTGACAGAGAGTACACAGGATAACGAGATAGTCGTTTTGCGGAGTTAACAACTTGCTATGTATGTTATGATGATTGTTTACCGCCAAGGGCCGCGCATGGCAACCGAAAAGGACTAGCGCAAGTAGAGAGGGGCATCATTGCAAACAGCGCAAACACATACCCACGTATCTTTCAAGGTTCAATTCGATGACTCTTCACCATATTGGGTTCTACTGTATTTGAAGAGAATATCAAGACTTCTTTAAACACCCAACATGGCGTCCTCTACGTCGACATCGTCAGAAGCTGCAAAGCCCTTCGAGTGAGTTTTATGCACATCTTTCGCTTGAGTTTTGGAACTCACTAATCTGTTTTTAGCATTGTCGCAACCTACAATGGATTGCTTCGCTCCGACCCGGATCTGACTATGCCAATTGCTGCCATCGAAGCTTTGGTGTTACTTCTTACACATTCTCCTTCATCGACGATATCAGAAACCCTCGACTTACTGGAAAAGTCTACCGCCCACCTCAAGAAGTCGATCAAAAATCCCATTGGCCTCTCTGCTGGAACCGATCTCTTTCAACGATACCTGATTACGACGCTACAGAGACCAGGGCAACTAGGGCCCGCTGGAGATTTCAATGCCATCAGAGCGCATCTTCTCTCGAACGGTCGGTTGTTCATTAGACGTGCAAAGGAAAGCCGAGACAAGATTGCTACGTTTGGAAGAGGATTCGTTCGCGATGGAAGCACAGTATTGACGAACGGTGGATCTCGAGTCGTCGCTTCGCTATTGCAGAAAGCTGCCGATGACAAGGGTGGGCCTTCTGCTGTTCGTTTCCGTGTGATATATGTCCTCTCCCCCGCGAAGGATTCCTCCGCAGAGCCTGAGGGTATGGAAACAGTGCGCGCACTGAGGGCAAAGGGTGTTCCGGTGGCTACAATTCCGGAATCGGCTGTCGCATACTCTCTCGGAAAGGCGGACATAGTAATCGTGGGCGCGGAAGGTGTGGTAGAAAACGGAGGCATCGTGTCACGCATGGGAACCTACCAAATCGGCCTTCTTGCCAAAGCCATGTCGAAGCCTTTCTACGCCGTTGCGGAAAGCCACAAGTTTGTCCGCCTGTATCCGCTTGGACAATATGACTTGCCCATTGAACAACGCGTCATTGATTTTAACACTGAAGAAGATATCACTAATGGGGACAAGCCACAGTCGGTAGCTCATAGCTCGGATGTGGTCGACTTCACACCGCCTCATCTAATATCCGCATTGATTACAGACAGTGGTGTCCTAACACCAAGTGCTGTTAGTGAAGAGTTGATTAAGATATGGTTCTAAAGAACCTGAGACTACGGGATGTCGGTAGATGTCGTGACTTCGGGGTGCAGATCCGGCGGTTGGCCTTAATGCGCTATGTGCCCCACTTCACGGTAGGGCGCAGTGTATTTCGACGGAACTGAAGAAGTCCCAAGTGAAAATGACTCTATTCTGATCTATCACTCAGTGGATCACTTCAGACTGAATCGACATGCAGCACCTTGATCAAATCATGTGTAGCTGTTCAATAGTATTTGGCTTGACGGCAAGCCGTGGAACACGTCTCGTTCGTCACGCAACTAGGCACATGTGATCTGTCTTATCTTTTGGGATGTTTCCCGAATGTACTCCAATCGGAAAGTGAAGGAGGACGGCGAGCTGAGCCTTTTCGGCACTGGGGTATAGAGATTATGATGCCATGTAGAAGCATAGCTTTGATACGACCCACAAAAAAACGAGAGCAACATTATGACTTAAATAGAAAATGACGAAATTGAACAATAATGGATTTCATTCCAAAGAAGATCCACCCGATTTACTTTTTCCCTTTTCCAGTTCTCATAGCGCCAGGTTCCCATTAATCTGCATTTTTGAAGAATAAACCCGGATTTCAAATCATTTCACATCTGATCATTACAAGTCGTGTCCCTTTCAGGGTATATTATAGTCTCGTGCATCACCTCACTCCTCCGATCCCCACTCATAAGTCGTAAGAATCATGTCTTGCAACGACAGCCACGACAACATAAACCGACAGTTGCACATATCTCATCCGTTTGGCATGGACCGTTATGTCTGATCATGTCATGGTCCTTGGATAATTTGATGAGGCGTCGGTTCGGCTCGATTTCTGATTGCAAGAAAGCACAGCGAGTGACTGATATCGGTCGTACCAATATCAAAACTTATGGCATCATTCTAGATGCAGACAAACGAGGGACATGTAGGGGTGGTGCCTAGTAGTCATAGTCGATTGAGGATCATTTTGCCTCCCATTTCCTTCCATGTTAATTCATCCGTTTGTTTGATCGACGAGTCCGATGTCTCGGTTTCAGTTTGCGATGCGCTTCAGATACATATTCTGTGCATCGAACGACTGCAGGAAGGCAAAAGCATACAGGAGAAAGTAGCCGAAGGCTACGAATAGCCATAGAAACGCCATGGTGTTGTGTTTGAGGGGAGACTAGATTAACCGATATACCCGAGTATGTAGTATGTATGTCTAGACACCCGGACAGTATCTAGGTATGACCTGGAAATAGAATGGAGTAGGGTCTAGGGGGCACTGCCTTCTTTGAACTAAGACCAAGACCGGAGGAGTGCCGACTTTTAAGTGGTATTTTCTGGAAACCCCGATTATTGGCATGTGTTCCGGTTTTAGTCGACCTGTGTCCCTGATCAGGCAGTAAGGGCAGCCATTCTTTGATCACCATTCTCGTGGATCCCTGTAAGCGACCGGAGGGAGATGGGATGAGAAAGCGGGGTACTTTACCTCGACTACTTAGTATTTACTAGTACCTGCTATACTTCGACACAAGCATGAGATTGTGGTTCTCTCAGGCCAATAGGATTGCTCGGTGACCTTTGGCTGACTTCAGATCCATGCAAGCGGTGACTGATGAGGTGGTGATGTATCAACTGGATTATCCGATCAACAGTGTGTATTTTAGAATAGTATGATCGGCTGATTCTTCAAAATGGTATGGGCCGATAGGTGATAATATACAGTATTATCGTTACATATATATCACATCAGTCCAAACTTTGAGCGACAACTCGATTTTTTCCTTTCTCGACTAATTTTGTTTAGGTAGACAATGTCTCAACATCCCACGAATCGGCTTTGATATTCGGCGGTGTGATCTAAAGAATACGGTAAGACAAAGGGAAATAAATAAAAAAAAAGACACCCTAACCCTACTAAATCTCTTCGAGGATGAATGGAAGTCCCAATAGGACTTCTTGTTTCTTATTATGGCACGGTTACGCAGCCCATTGTACCTCTGGTTGGGCGATAGGTTCCAGAAACTCTTGGGAACACCGAATTCCTCTCCGATGCACCCGGAGATTCCAGTTCGAGGAAATCAATAATTGACCATGCTGCATATGATAAAGAAGAAAGGGTAGACCCGAGACATTCCGAACTCGACCCTGCAATTTTCCTCTATAGCGACAGCCGTTGCCAAAGTCTAATAGCTAATTTTATATGCGATGAGTGAGTGGACTTAACTGGAGAAGTTATTATGCCTATCAAACACAGATGGTCAAAGCCTTTACTCCAGAGTTAGGCTTCACCTATGACTCTTCCTGGGGGGAGAGACACGTGCTTTCGGCGGGCACTCGCTAACCAGCCGATTCCGGCCTTGATTGGACCGACCCTGGCTCTTCTCCACTGCCCCTCCGACAGTCCCGAGGTTCTGTGGCGCTGGGGACGTGTTTCGTTTTATTGGTACTCCGTACACAACCTCCAGTAGGATTGGCAGAGTTCGGTACAATGTCGGACTATTGGGGGAACGCCGTACTCCACCTGTAGTAGGGAAGGGAAAAAAAATACCGAACGAACAGCGTTCGGTATGCACTGTACTAACCGCCAACACTTCATCTACCTATCCATTTTTGGTCTTCTGTCAAGTTACTTTGCATGAACCCGGGCCGTTACTTCATATTACGATCCATCCATCATACTTAGCAACCCGGCCTTATCCGCGTTCGTATCAGTCGAGTACAGTACTGCACTTCCTAACTCCCCCAGCGGTCCGCAACTGAATCCAGCCTATAGTCTAAGACCTCTCTCACTTCGAGAAACACGTCTATCACATGGTGGCTTGCCAAACCTAAAACCTACCATTGACGAAGATAATAGTCTCACCGTGGATCTCTCATGGAATAATGGGCGCAGAGTCATTGACATCCGCACAACAGAACGGCATCTATCCTAAAAAACAGAGGGAACAGGAATCACGGTCCCACCATGTACTCGAGAGCGACAAACCCCGTGATTCCTGGTCCCTTAGAGGATTCCTGAGTCGCCACGTGAGCCGTCGGTATCGCGTGCTGGAACGGGAACCGAATAGACTCCGAAAGCGATTCACCAATTAATCGTGGACGAGAGAAACGTATGTCTTGATATGATATGATTTTGATTTTACCCGTCTCCCCGATTCTAGCACGCACGCCGTCTCTGAATAATGGGGTATTTTCCCGCCGGAGACCTAGTAGAGGGGAGAAAGAGATGCTGTGACTGCGTGTCTTAGACAAAGATTCGAGGCGTTCATTCAAAATCCGGCCACGTGCGGATATATCGGGGTTGCCAGCTGTTTGGAAATTCTATGGTGGGATTAGAGATGGGCTGTTTTTGACTCTTGTCAGCAACTGCCATCTGTCAGTTTTTATTGTCTGTGTGAGACCTGCGATCCCGTAGATGGGTCCATTGAAACTTCGATTGGAGGGGAACTTTTGAGGCGTCGGCTTTTGTTGGTTGCACTAAGCCGTTGGGTTGAATGCCAGTTATTGCTTGGCATCTGTATAGCAGTCAGACGGTCCATGGCCTAGCGTTGCATTGGGCGGGTGATAGCCTGGTTTCTCGACGGAGCTAAGCAAATTTTGAATTGATAGCATTTCTGGGGGTGTTCGGAGTCTTGGAGCAATGTTGGAACTGGGATATGACATGTAAGATAGAGAACGATGAACAAAACTGGTAAAAGAGCCAAGAAAATATCAAAGAGCGGAGGCAACGTGAAGCAAGACCAAATATTAAGGAAAGACCAGGCGGCAAGGGGGAGAGAAGTACCTGGTTGGAAATCTCCTAACTAGTCAATCACCTCATTGGCGGTATTTTGGTTCTTATATCAACGACTGCCAGCACAGGTCGAACGTGGTTCCCTACAAGGCTCGCAACTAAACTTTTCCGCCTATGCAAGAGGATTTAGCGCAGCAGCGACTGCGCACCATTGTCAGAAACCTTTCAAATAGTACCCTTTCTTTCTGCCTTATTATTGTTAGTTGTCAAGGTGTACACTGAGACCTGCACCATTAGGTATTGTGACAATGTCAGAAGGTATTGATTGACACGTATGTACATAACTGGTATACTTCGTATGGTTTGTGACAGGTAAAGTTATCATATGCATGCAGATTGACACAAAAGGCAAGAGGGTTCTTGTACCACTGTCTCTTTTGAGGCACTTTTGCTCTATGTCTTCGTTGTATGAGAAATGGGTCGAGATTCAGGTAAGTATATGCGCCAAGTACAGCGCACTTTTAGAGTCATTACTTCAAGTGCTCAGTACTCCGGAGTAGATACGCAGAGTTATGATGTCCCGTAAATGTTACTTACAGTAATGAAAGTACCTGAACCCACAATTGCCAAGGGTGAAGAAAAAGAAATTACACCGCCTATCATCAATGCTAATCACAAGATCACCATCTACCTCAATTTTGACTTGATTGATGTAGGGCTTCAGATAGCTCTTACTAGTACTGTCTGGGTCCATGACCTGCATTGCGAATCGATATTAGATACACATACCTAGTAAATGAGAGGGATACTGTCTACACGACCCGCTCAGATAGCACTGATATCGAACTCCGCAGACCTTCGGGATGTCTGAGTTTTCACTGTAATTTCCTTAACTCGTAAACAGAAGTCGATTGATTGTCCAGTATTGGCGTCTATGCAAGGCTACAAGCCGTGGCTTGTTCGTGATTAGACCTTTTTAATCAGCCAGAATGTCTCACTTATAATGCCCCTGGTAGATTGAGATCTGGCCGAGTCTTTAATTAATGAGATGCAGGAACAAGTGATCCGCTATTTTTCGAGAGATGATCGAATCTCAAGTGCATTCTAGCTATGTTCGACAGACAAGACGGTCGGTGTTCCTCGAGTGGGTTCATTTTTCTTTTGTTTTTTCTTTCCAAAACATGCGATAGAATCTATTCAAGTGAACGGAGTATCTTAAAATAGCTAAACTTAGATCATTGATAAATAAGCATGCGGAAAAAAGCCGATTCCGTTGATGCCAAAATATACAAATGGGGTACATAGACTTTAAGAGGCCTGAGTCATTCATCAGATCGAGATACCAATGATGGGGCAGAACCATGGTATCGGTACAATCGGAGAGAACCACATTCTTCCAAGTGACCCCCGTTTTGTAGCTCGGGTGAATGGAAAGTCTCATGGTTTCGAGTTCGGTACTTGTTTGACCATGCGCTTGCATCTTCCAATTATCGGCGTTGTCTTCCTTGACCATGCTCAGTGCTTAACCGCGATGATCCATCCTATCTGCAAGGCATGATAAATTAGGTGGATACGTGTCTAATGAAGTCGAGAGAAATTTGATTCGGAACAATACGCGCACTAGGCCCAGAGAGATTATCCCGAATTAATAATATTGGAAATAAGTGGTCCATACCCACATATGCGACTAAGAATGTCCAGACCTGCATCGACTGGCACAGTCTCGGAGGAAAGTCTTGAAATGATCGACAAACGCAACAATGAAATCTGTCGTCTGAAGGTTGAAGTTTGGAACCCCAAGTATTTAGTAGAACAAAACAAAGCCCCACGGCCTGGGAAGTTACCTAAGAATGGAGACTCGACCGTTACATTGCCATGGGTTCTGCACGGCATGGCCCCTGCGTCTGGACCTGTCAGTGGCTGTCATAAACGTACCACGGTACCTGACTTCTTCCGGATTCTTTCGGTAAGAAGCTTGGGTCGTAATTGAGTTGGGAAAAAGCTGCTACTTGTTAGAAAATGTCAGCGTATAGTAAAGACTCTACATACTATAGAAGTACTGTACCAGCGTAGGCTTGTTGTTCTTCCCGCGAGGATGTGCATCGTTGCCTATCTTGTTCGCCGTTAGTTAAGCGAAACTATCTAAGATTTAGTGTGACGTTGTGCTTCAAAAACCTCTCCACCGGGAAATTCCACTTTCTCCATCGCTCTTCGTCATTTTAATATACCTAGTAGATGGTAATTAGATATGCCCAACGATCTTTGGGATGTCTGAGGTTCCATTGGTCGACAGAGCAATGTATTGTATGATTACGTGTGAGGTCTGTACGTAGAGAGTATTGAGTTTGCCCATAAAAATATAAAACTTTTTGCACTTTGTGTCCAGGTAGATCATTTGCAATGGTGTTGATTAGATCGTCTTTGACGTCCTACATGATAGACACGATCTCGCACGTATATGATCGTTATGATAATGGTCTGTACCACAGACTTTAGAGTTTCGGTAATTAATCTACAATAAATAGAGAACCTTTCAGTTTGCAGGGTACTCCGTAGTATACCCGGTAAAGCCTCTCAGCAGTACGTAACTTAACAAGGATCAATATATCGAGATTCTCCATGACATCGGACCGTTATCCCAATATGTAGTTTCTTGGTACATACATATAGGTGGTTTCTTGAATACAGCACTGCCAGTACATAAGCATTAATGGTAACTTTAAAAGAAAGCATTAGAGAATACATAGATAGGAGGCTATTAAGTACTGCACATACTTAGAGTATTGAGCCGTGAAGGATACTCTCGCTCGATTTCTCCGAAGTATCTCGTACGGAGGAGTGAGATTTGCCTGACTACAAAAGACTAGTTCTGGAAATCCTTCATGACATCACAAGATGGAACTATTGAAATGAACATACATTTAATTCTAGGCATCTGTTACCAAAGCTACCGCAGTACCGGCCGTAACAATACACACAGAGTACAGCCGGGTTTGGAAGTAATTATTGTACTAACTGTATTGCACTATCTGTTTCTAAGTATGGAGAGTGGAGTACGGCTTGGACGGGACCTATTGAGTACTAACTAATCAATGGCTAAGTGGCCCCTAAAGCAGGTACCTAGGCATTAATTTCCAATGATGTCTCTCCCTAATCGGTGGTGACAATGGGATTGGGCTTCAACCTGCCAGTCCCGTCGAGTGGATTGGATTCCCCACAGTTGAAGAAATTTTCATGATCAGCTTCTGTTCAAATTCTCCCAGGCCATTCCCTTCCTTTCTTCGCTCTGTCTGAATTCTGAGGTGTTATAATAGGGAAGTTTTCATTTGAGGAAAGTCCTTTTGTATGCCTTAAAGATCTGAGAGAGATGAGAAATAAAAAAGGAGTATTATAACTTAAGGAAGGAAAAAAGAAGTAGAAATCAGCAGAAAAAGCATGGAATAACTGTTTGCACAATGGCTGACCTGTAATTTTTAGAAATAAAGAAATAAAATAAAAAGATTTTATTTTTTTGGGGAGGGGGGGAAGGAAGATCCTCTGGTTCAAGTGATCCTCTTATGACGGCCGGGGCCGGGGGCGCTCGCGGTGTAACCAGCAGGTCTGCTCCCCTGGGTAAGTGACCCAGGAAAAAGGGCGGTTTGTTTGTCTCGGCCCTCGCAGTCACTCTGGCAGTCCCTCGCTCACTGACTTGACTCTTTTGGGTATTGGGGTTCGGTCTTTTGGGCTCACTTTTTCTTCTTGTTTCTCCCTCTCCTTCTTTTCCTCCCTTGTCCTCACTTCATCTTCTTCGTCATCTTTCGCTTCAATCTCGTTCGTTCGTTTCGATCTTATTGTGTTAGTGGGACTATCTTGTTTTGCCACTCTTTTGTGGCGTGGCTTCGGGGGGTCTTACCTAGTAACTTTCACCACCTGGGCAAATAGTACTCACTCTACTTACGTCTTTCTACCCGTTCGTTCTAAACCAATAGTTTCTCCCCTCGTCCATACCAACAACCGGGGGCTTCCAACTCTTTTTTATTTTATTTTATGCCTTCTTTTGTCTATCGCTTTCACCTGTTCTCGACTTATCTTTTTCAGCGACGGTCAATAGGAAAAATTTAACTTTTGACTCAATTCTACTGTTGGATTAGCCGTCTTTTCTATTTATTTCGGTTGCTTACCTCAAACCACCTTCCAGATCTTCTGGTGGTCGCGTGTGATTCCCATATTCCCCATGAGTCCCGTCATCCGGTCCGAATCTACATCCGAACAAAGCTGCGTCCACGTTTAATTTTTACGTTGGACAAAAGTACGTATGACCAGGCGCCATGGCGATATGGCCGTTTGGTCGGAAGAGTAAGCGGCATACTATCCAGTTGGATACAGCTGCTGCGGGAGAGCTCCATATACCACAAGAATCTCGCCTGAGCCTGGACGACGCCAAATTTGGGAGGAAACCTTCTCGCAAGAAATCTAAGCGGCAAAAAAACCGACACTTACAGCCGGCTGACGATTTCGCGGGTCCTGTTCAAGATGCAGCACCGCCTCTCTCTTCTCAACAGATCTCGTATCCTCCACCTACGTCACATAGCGAGCAGGTGCATCTCGTGAAAGGTGCACGGGACCCCTCAGCCCGGACAGGCTTTACCCCGGATGGTTATATCTCTTATTCTACCATCGGTCAAGACCAGCCCTCATTGTCTCGAAATGCGTCGCTGCGGAGACAAAATCGTTCCGATAATGGGCCTGCGGTCCTGAAGAAAAAGCTAAGCAAGCGAAAGGCCTACGAGATTGCTAGGGAGCGTGAGATTCGTCTGATGTCCTCATCTCCAATCGATATTCCTCGCCGTTCCACTACCCTCCCCGGTGAACAAGGCTCTGCCTACACCCGCAGGGCACCTAGGGCCCAGAGTCGTCGTTCAGACAGACACCTGTCTGACGTCAGCCTTTCGCTTCGTGACTCTGCGTCTTCACTTTCTGATTACTCTGAATCCTGTACTTTTAAAGTTAACGGTTTTGCTGCCTGGACTCCCCGTCCCGTTATCCGCTATGTGGAAACTCCTCGGGTTCCCACCGCAAGGAGTTTAAAGCCATCTGAAGCATCAACTCGAAGGGAGAGGATAACAGCTATCTCTGTCTCAGAGGATAATATTCAGTCGAAGAAAAGAATCGACAATCTGGCCGACGATCTTGATGCAGGTGCTTTGAGGGAACTGCTGGAAAGGGATCGCCGACGGAGGGAGAGGAAGAAAGCTGAAGAATATGAAAAACTGCAACGCAAACTACAGCACGCTGCTGAGCAACAAAGATTGGAGGAAAGGATTGTCCGTACTTCTCAGGATCAACAAGGTGAATCGCAGGATATGCCTGCAGCTCTGCGCGGCCGGCCGAGTGCTGAATACCAAGCTGATCCTAGAGATCGTGTCGCTGAAGATGGATCTGGGTTCAACGAGACAGGACCTCATGCTCTTGGGGTTTCATCTGGCTCATGGCTGCGGGACATTTCCAAAGGCACCGAACGGAGTGACCGGCATTCATTAGAGAGTGTCCATGTCATCGGTAACATTGATGATAACTCTATTCGAGAACGGAAGTTGGGTATGCGCCGCAGTTTTGTTCCATCACAAGAGATGGGTATGTCGCGTAGCACTCTATCACCGTCCCACTCACCGACAAGACGCGAGGTTTACAGCCCTACTTCCTCTCAAGCCTACGGATTCGGCAGGGAATCCACCTCAGATGTATCCCGTACTATGGACTCAGAGCGACGGTTATCAGATCATAGCAGTGGGCGCGTCAACACAATAACATCCCTATTTAGACGTGGTAGCTCCCGTCTCAAGCGGCGCTATCGCGAACGTTTCCAAGACCGTGGTTCGGAGTTCTCGTCGAATGCGTCGCACGAATCCTTCTTCAAGGTTCCAACACGATCTTCAGGACCTCCTCCATATGTTCCTCCAAAACCCTTCCTCCATTCAGGAACAGTGAAACGTTCTCAATCCAAGTTCAGGGAACATTTCGGGGACGAGCCTCTATCACCCCCCGATTCGCGTCTACAATCGCCCGATATTCCTGAAGAGCCTGTTGAACACTCCGAGATAGAAACCGAAAACTTGGACTTGCGCGAAAGAACGCAGTACCCAATCCCTGGGTCTGACTTAGAACTCCAGGACCCCCGCGGAAATGGCCATAATTCTTGGACGGGTGATAGCATGGAAGGTGACGTTGATAACGTCCCTCTATCTCAGTCTCTGGCATCGATAGATTCAGAAGGGTCTTGGATGTCAGGTCAATTCCTCCGTCGCATCTCTCAGAGGACGAGCACCCCGGGCCGGCCAAGTCTCAGTTCCTCCAGGAACAGGTTGGTCGAAGAACGCGAAGAGGCGCCTAAGGAAGGAGAGATCTCGAGTAATGAACAGCTGGTCAAGTTTAGCACCAATCATGACGAGAACGCCAGAGCTAGCCACGTCCTTGGTGAGCAAGAGAACGACTTTGAAATGGTTAATGCGCCAGAGCCGGCAGAGGAAACTTGGCATCAGGAGATTGCAAAGCGTCCTGTGCTCGTCAACCCAGCGATCCGGCCCAAGTCGAACGAGGGTCTGCTCAACAATGTCCAATCTCTATCTGCGATCTCTGTAGAAGAGGAGTTCAGCCCAATTGAGGAGCACCCAGCTGAATTTCATTTTGAGACTAATCATGGCTATGACCGCCGTTATGGTCATTGAGGAATCACCACAACACCGAGAAACTTGACTGGGGTCTTATTACTGAGCACGGCCTTGGTGACGTGATGTTTATTCGCCAACTTTTATCTTCCTGGCGTTCTTCCATATTAAGAGTATTTAATCAGCCTCTAGTATATACCCCAGTCACTCCTTTGATACTTTCCTTTGTCTCTCCTTTGTATTGTCGGCTTTGCACGCATCTCATGTGGCACTTGACGTGGCCACAGTTGCATTCTCCGATGCTCGCATGCAGACTGGTCGTTTCTAGTCTTGCTGGCTGGCTTTGCTAGTTCTTGTGTTTGTTGATACCCCCCAATCAGCTGAAGTTTGAATGAGTTTGTCTCCATTGCAAGTTAATGTTTCTATTTGGCTCATTTTCTTCCGAACTTTATCCTCCTGATAGACCTGACGCAATCTCAGTCTTCGATTCGATGCACATATTGATCCCAACACGCGAGTCGTTGTTGCATGAGTTATTTGCCTTCTCTTTCCATATTGCTATACCATTTACTATCCCCATCGCCATATCACACTAGTCGTTAATTAATGGTGCATGACATTCTAGTTCGTTAAGAAACAAGACAAATTAGAATAAAATATTTAAGCGATATGCATTTTATTATGTCGTCTTATCTCTCTTCCAAGAAACGACCATGATTGCTGGTTGAAGGCTAGATGTTGTATTGTTTTTGATATTGAAGACTGAACCTAAGGGCGGAAGTAGGGAGAATCTTTATGATGTTAATTAAGTATGTATTGTTCATATAATTTGATGTTCTTCGAGTTACGTCCGTATAGATGCCTGAGGCATACATACGATCCAGACCATATCTGATTGATAAGCGAGAGGAGAGCACGCCATCTCGGGCCGCCGCTTTAACGTGCAAACGCCAGAACCCAGAAGCGTCTTCTCACTCATCCGCCTCAAGTCTGAACTACTACTAAACATCACCTGCTGACCAACCAAACCACTTCCTTATCACGCCTCTGTAACCAACCATGTACTCCCCTAGCTTGACAAATCAATTGAATAGTCTCCTGCGAGTGTCGCGAGTGAGTGGGTAGGCAGAACCTGTGCATAGAATTTCATCCATCATCCCCGTCCCTTCCATGGCGCGCGGAATGGTTCAGCAAGAACGATTACTCATCCGTGGATCTGTTCCCTGCAGCCCAACGTCATTCGGGATTTTAAAAATCTCATTCGTGCCCCTCCATCAGCCCCTCACCCGGAGCTAATATCTTCCATAGTTTTAAACCATCTCCTCGTCTCTCCCTTTCTTCTGCTAGGATCTCATCCAGAGCAATCGCATATACCACTTCACCTCGCCTTTCGGTCGGCAACAACTTCAATCTCTCTCGACGAGCTTTCTCCCATACCCCTACTGTCAGATTCTCTCCCTCATTCACCATGGCTGATCACGGCAAAGTTGAGGATATCAAGACGTAAGACTTCCCGTTCTCACACAACACCCAGCATCGATGTGTTCTTCGCATCCGCCGCCTTTTTAATTTTTAATCCCCACATTCTTAATTGGCCACATGTCACTAACTGGCCATATAGTGAGGCTGAGTTCCGCGAAAAGGTTCTCGGATCTCAGGATCTTGTTGTCCTTGACTGCTTCGCCGATTGGTGCGGTCCTTGCAAGGCCATTGCCCCCAAGCTCGCCAGTTTCAGCGTTGCCTACCCCCAGGCCAAGTTCTACAAGATAGATGTTGACCAGCTCTCCAATGTCGCTGCTGAGCTTGGTGTCCGCGCCATGCCCACTTTCATTCTCTTCAAGAACGGCGAGAAGATCGGCGACGTTGTTGGCGCCAACCCTCAAGCCCTTGAAGCCGGTATCAAGAACCTGGTCGCATAAATCGGTTAGATATTGGATTGATGGATAACATGCGCTTTTTTGTTTTGTTCATCACGAAGGGAATGTGATTCTACTGTTTATATTCCCCACACCGCACAATGATGACCTGTACCTGTACCGTGCCCATAATCTAGCCGTCCATATGACGTTGTGGATCTAGGTAAGATAGTTTCCGGAGAAGGGATATTCCTAAGCTCGTAGTCCCTGGCTCTCTCTTCATGTTCAGTAGGACCCCTAGCATACCAAACAGCCGAATAGGAATCTAGCCAACGAACAGCGGGACGATCTGAAGACTGTTAGTTTGGCAGCGATTAAAAGTAGTCCGCAATAGCCTGGTCCAATTTGGACTTTCTAGAAATGTCTCGAGAATGAAACCAACGGGTCCCACACAGGTATCTCAACGCCTTAATTGGTTTCAAGGTCGTTTGTGATATAGACGCATAATTCCAAGCGAGCCTTCGATCAATATTGCGCAGTTGCCATAAATCGTAGCTGAGCCCCAATATTCATCGCATTCCGAACGGTGCGCATACAGCCCACATATAAGCCCATCGTTCTGTTAATGTTATAGTTTGGTTGATAGCCCCGAGCTTATCGGCTTCCTTGACAAATAAGCACCTATCAATCTATTGAACATCTCATTCGCGACCTTTAATTTCTACCCAATTCATCCAATCAATCTTCTACATAACCAAGTGGCACGACACGTACAGCATGCATGCTGCATGCATGTGTGTTCTAGACGCACGCACGGAAAGACCCATAAAATTGCCTAGAGATAATCGGCACGGTACATGTAACTGGCACAAGGATCAAGTTGAATCAGGATGCCGGCTTATTTAATCTACTCTAAAGAATGTACATACTTTGACAGGTTCTGACGGCATAGAAAGATCGTGTGTGGGATTGTTAGGTGGTATGCTATGTACATTGTCCGGCAAATTCATCATGCTCGATATAATTACTAGATCCAAGATAGTAGGATACCTACTATTATTTAGATAGACTAATGTCCACCAAAAGCTTATGGCCTACCATAGTAGGTGCATATACGCTGCAGACTAACACTTGTACTCAAGCCAAATAATCTACAAGGTACTATATCTGTTAAGTATCAAACAAAGCTGCCCAAGAACCTATTAAGTGCTAGTCCTACACCGCCCTGCTAGTAGTGACAGGGTACACAAAGAGAAAGCCCGTCTTGTTTTTCCAACATAATGCGGGAAAAAAAAAACATACTAAGCCTATATCCCTGTCTTGATAGCCCATACTACTTACTACCTTCTAGGTTCCAAGTAGCAGCGGCCACTCTCAGGCTACATAGAGAGGCACCTACACAAGCACGAACTTTCATATGAAAAATAAAATAAAATAAAAAATAACTTCGAAGCGCAGGACGATCTTTACCTTCTAACACGCACCAATATACATACTACGGTAGAGTGCATTCTTCCTCGCAATATCTAACCCAACACGGCAGTGGAGGCCTTAAGTGCCTGAATTATACTGCGGAAATCTCTCGGCTACGATACCGGAGATAACCTAGACCATGTATCTCCGTATATTAACAGGCTCCATAGTTCAGCTCACACATTTGCTGTCATGCTGCACATCCTTAACCTTTCGGTGGGAAAATTCATATGACAGATTATTGAAGCTGTCATGTTTAATAATTTAATCCTCGGTTACCCCGTAACCCCTGCATTAGGGGTTGAATCTTAGCGATGGTGTGAGGCGTTTGAGGGCCGAGGTTATCGTGAATTGCGTATACATCTGGCCTGACCTAATCAAGAGAGGAACAAGGAAGGAAAGGGGGAAAGGGGAAAAAAAAATCGATCAAGATGGGAAAGGACATCTACGTGTCTCCATGATGTCTTCTAGAGAACGATGATATTTGCTGTCTACAGGACGACTCTGGAGTCAATTGACAGGGTACTTGCTATGCAGAGAATCCACTTTCGTGCAGTATGCAATATTCGATCCTTTACTGCCGTGTAAGCCGGGGTATCCACAACACATGGGATTAGTTCCCGTGTTCAGGGTATTCTAGTCATGTACATACTTGATGAAGTATGTATGCACGTAGAAAGATGCCTTTTAGGCGAGGATCATTGGTTAGTTTTGGACTTTGTTAACACAGGATATTTTCCAGGTTAGTGTCGTGGTAAGAGTCTAATATTTCCTGTTGATGGCGAGAACTTGAAGTTAAACTCTGATATGAAGTCCTGGACGTGATTGGCGGATTTGTGAGTTAGGGTAAACTCTGTATGATCATTGGATGAAAACATAGACGACGAATATTTAGATAATTGGGTATAGTATAGTAGTAGTAGGTAGTAGTTTGTCCAGTAGCGTCTCCTCCTAGTTGGGCCATTAACTTCGTTTCACATGTCGCAATCTAGATCTAGGCATTAGAGTCTTTTGGTGTAGTATGGACATTCTTTCTTTCTTCTGTCTCTCCCTGTCTCTTTCTTTTCTTTTCTTTTCTTTTTTTAAGAAGTTGAACGTCCGGTAAATAATCTAATGTTTACCTCAATTGAACAAGAAAGAGGGTCAATTAATCAGCATTAATTAAGAAGAAGAGAGGTGTGACAAATGAAAAGCAATTCCGCCTTCGCGTAAAATAGAAAATCGAACTTTGAGACGCAGTAAAAAGTGTTTTCCATTGAACCATCGCCCGCTAGAGTGGATCGGGATAAGCGTCGATTACAGTGGTCATGCTCTGGCGAGTCACGAGCCAGCCTGTGGACTTCACTTGGAAGAAGTCTGGGTCCGATTTCCAGTGATTCAACTGCGTTAAACGTCCTAAAAACGGGGAAGCCATTCTCTTCAAGACCAAGTAAGCCTTATCCACTGCCACGGGTTGATTCTTCTTGTCTCAGATGAACCAGGCACGCACGATCTTGTTTGCACACAGCGAACCCTTTTGTTAGAGTTCGTCTAAGGCTTTGGCCGACACACGAGGCGTTTAGGAACAAGTCAGATTTTAGACTAAACATTGTCGAGACCATCTCGCCAAGTTTATCATTTCAATTTCAACTATCAACACTCCAATCATTACAACAATCTTATCTGTTCATACCGTACTGACTCGTGGTCTCCACTCTGGCGGGCTTGTGTTGCCCTCTCAGAATTGATTTTTGACTATAGTTGTGTATAATCATGAATCTTAAACCCTATATTGTTCATATTGGGACGCGGGCGTCTTATTCGGCCGCGGTGGGTATACATAATCTAAGGAAAGATCTCAAACGAGAACTGCACAGGAAAAGAAGAAGAAGAAAAAACCTCTCCTTGTGGGGGATTTCTGTCCCAGGCAACTCGATAGGGAATGCTACATCCAGGGGTCTCAGTACTTTCAGATCGGAGAAGAGCGAATCCTTTGGGAGCGGCGCAGCTGAACCAATGGTTAGCGTGTCTTCGAGAAGGCAATCGGCAACTTCGGTCCCTACCACTCGGACCCATATCTTGTTTACAACGATATTGTCACCCACCCAGGCTTCTCCACAGGTGAAACAAGAGAGAGGGGAAAAAATGGCAACAATAACCACGTTGTGGCGTATGTCCTTGATTTTGGTCTTTTAGACCGATTTTCTTTGGCTAGGCCCTTAGTCGGAAGCCCGAATTGCCAGAGTCTATGCCCCATCGTTCCCCACTAGCCAACTACGATCTGAATACTAAATCGCTTCCTTTGGTATCCAGCAATTTCCCACGCTTTTCGGCTGATTACTATGGGCTCCCAAGCTGCAAACTCCAGCTGCTCGTGGTAGTGATTCAGGGCCACGGACCAGGCTTCCTCTTTGGTTACGCTTGTTAAATTGACATGCATTAACTAACAGGGATTTTAGGGATCCATAGTGACCCGAGGAACAAATACGATGGCCAGCTACACCCTCGCTTATTCTTCCTTTGTTTTTCCGCGCTGCGTTGTAACCTTGGGACTGAGAGGAGCACCCACGAGGGGCAGTGGGTGGAGTATCAGCTAGTGTTAATCGTTATAATAACAAGATCTATCCCCATAGATGGCGATGCTCGTCAATGCGTCAGCCTTATTTCCAACTTTTGCTGTACCATTCCTTGAATGTAGACTTTTTACTGACCCTAACCATGCACATGCGGTGAAATATCCTCTCTCTCTCTCTCTTCATTCCCTGTCAATGAAGTCCCAAACGCCTCCAGTTACTTCATAACATTCTCATTCGAAAATGCCGAATGCAGACGCTCACACCGACGGGGCGCCCGTCGGAGTATCATATTTGGCCGGGTTTATCTTTCTTTCTTATGTGGTGAGCATGATGGGATGTACTACTACCCTGGAACTTCTCCACCGAAGGACGGCGAGAGCCGGTTTGTATAATTGGTACGAGTATTGTCCTGCCCTGGGAATATGACACTCGATTTTCTAACCATCAATGTAGGTATCTATTACTTACCTCTTCAGTAGCCATGGGAGGCGTTGGTATCTGGTGTATGCATTTCATTGGGAACCGAGCGATCGTTCTTGGTTCCGGTCAAAATGATATTCAAATCCTCTACAGCATGACTTTCACAGGCGTCTCATTTGTGTTACCAGTGGCTGTCCTCCTTGTCGCCTTTTATGCCATCGGGGCAAGTGAGAAAGCGGGTTATCTCCGGATTATGGTGGGAGGCTTGCTGACCGGTTCCTCGGTCTGTGGTATGCATTACGTTGGCCAACTAGGCATTGCAAACTATCAATGCTCCTACCGGGCTGCTAATGTCGCTGGTTCGGCCGTCATTGCAGTCTTCGCTAGTACCACCGCTTTGAGCATCTTTTTCCGCTGGAGAGCCACTTGGACAGACAGTTGGTGGAGGCGAGGTGTCTGTGGCTGCTTGCTTGCTGCAGCCGTTTCTGGTATGCACTGGACGGCCGCAGGGGGAACATCATACCGGAATTTTGATCGGTCTGTCAGGAAGGGAGGCCAGCTTTCCCGAACTCAAACCGTAATCATCTGTGCTGTCTTGGTCAGTTTGCCGGGTTTTCAATTGAATGATTTAGATACTAACAGGGTATAGGCATGCGCAGCTTGCGGTGTATTATCAGCATGTGCTATAGTTGCTGGTGGGAGCCGTAGGAAGCTAAGAGCGCAAGCCCAGCAGCTGGTCCTGACCTGTACTTTCTTTGACCCGGAAGGTCGGATCATGGTTACACCACATGCATTGCTTCCAAGCCGGAAGATTGTTGATCGGTACATTGGAAGGGTGAGTTGATTGACAATGATAGCTTCGCTTCTTTGATGCAATTTTTATGACTAGAGCTAACTAGTTGACGAACGTCTCTAGACATTCAGTGACGATGACCTTACGCGAACGCACCCGGCCTTCCTTTGGGCTGTTCGAGCGAGTAGGAACTGGAAACTCGTGAGGGATGTTGTGCCTCTCATGAGGGCCCGGATACAATCTGACGAGCTCACGATGGAACAATATGTCTCCAAGGGAACTGTGTCGGACCAAGATGCTGAATTGCAACCACACTTCGATGATCTGTTCAAGCGTCATTTTTGTGTGACTGCTCAAGATCTCGCCGATGAAGTTCGACAGCCGTTACAGGATATGGGAATGTTATACGACCACGTATTGGCGACCGCCACCCCATCTTCGCGTTTCTCTCGTGCGATGGGGTACTCTAGGATACGCATGGGGAAAGGCCAGCTCTTGTTCACAGTGCGACAACTGAAGAAGCAAGAAGCCAGCCGTATGGCTGCAGCAGGTTTTCGATTCACAACCATCGAAAATGTTACAACGATCTTGTCCCGCCGTATTCACGTTCCTGCCACGAGTCTGGGAGCCCATCTGAAAGACATGCGAGATTACGCCTCCTCACATCGTATATTCGAACCAGGAGTTCATCTTATCTCGTTCATTATGCGCCCTACGATCCATGACCACTTTGAAGTGTTAACTTCCAAAGGTGTCGGCAACCCCTTACCATCATCGACTCTATCGACGAAGCGTCTCCAAATTAAACATTTAGAGATGATAGCACACATGGAAGGTTGGACCATGTCAACCTGCCTGAATTGGCTCAAATCAGACCATGCACGAGCCTACAAGGATGTCGGCGAATTCCGCGAGCAATTGATAAATGCGATCACGGCACTATCCTCTTCCCTCCCACCAGACGTGAATCTAGCATCCAAGTTCTCTGCACGCCCTCTCATCGCCCCCTCTCGTACGAACACGATCTCAGATGGCCAGAACTGCATCCTTCTGCCCTTCTGCGTGGTAGGGTCCCTAGACACGCAAGTTTCCAACCCAGACTTCACCTTCACCCCTCTCCGTCTATTCCGCGTGCAGCAACAAACAAACGATAGCCTCAGCGAAAGTGACGGCTTCGCTAAAGAACTCAGCCAAGAGCTTCTATATTCAAAGATCCATCCAACCTCATCTACCAACTCCGACATCACCGACTCCATTCGCTCCAAACTCCGCTTCTGGAATCCTCGCAAACAGCTCGACTCGACGATGAAAACCGCTTCGCAGGAGTCTCTCGCCGAGAATCTCGCTCCAGAGATCATGGTCCGTAGAGAGGTCAAGGTGGATGTTGCTAAGTTGGCCGAGCCGACCTTCGAACCCACTTTGGGAAGACATGCTTCGCAGACGACTGTGGTTGCCGGTGAAATGGCTTTCAACACGTACGTCGACGAACTGTACAACCTCTGTTACTCACCCGGTGTACGACTACGACCAGATCCGGGATTCCACCAGATGTCCGTACGCTGAGACAAACGGAAGCATACCCATAAGTCACACCTAAGAACAATCGTTCCCTAATGTTTGGAGTTAACAATCTAATCTTCTCCCTGGTGGGCCCGCTACAGCAACACTTAGAGTGCATCCAAGTCGAACAGAGATCAAAACGGGAGAATATCCCTGGAGCCTGAACCAGGGCTCGGGTCTACTCGATATCATGACAGCGATGGCCGACACATCACTGTGTCTACACATCTGAAAAAATTCGGAGTATAAGCCCTCATCAGCGCGCTCCTCAGTGATCCTCGTATGGAAACACTCTCCATCTTTCTATTGAGCTTTCTACGATAGATCTACGTTATACCCATTATGACTGGATGCACTGCTTTACCTCATACAAAACTACCACATACAATGTAATGTATATGATGAATATCGTCACATTTTCCATACACTCTTTTGAACACATCCTTTTGGACTTTCTGTTTGATATTCATGTTCACAACCCAGCACAATTCTTACGTGTATAACAGTGTTAATGGATTAGATGTAAATATGAAAGTGAAAATTAAGTTGCCATTACTGTTACAGGATTTTTAAAAACATTGAGTGGTGGCCTCGTTCCGGCCGATATGGTACTTCCAGATAATCCATGCTTTTGGCGTTTCATTAGTTCTGTTTCCTGTCCATTCGAGAATAGACTGTGCTATTTATGTATCTGAAGCACCGGGGCTCTTTACAAACCTAGATATATCAATGTGAAATAATGTGAATAGAATAGAAGAGCGACATGATGATAATCGTGTATTTGAGCAAACGAATGCCCGTCTACCAAAGCTATCGATCCTCCAAAGATCTATGTCAGATGGTTGATGGCAATTTAAGCACCAATCTCGCCTGACAGTCAAAGTCCTCTAGGGAAAACCGAAATGAAGCCAGTAAGATGAAAAAGCAAAAAGGTCTTGCCCATCCCAAAGATGCAACCCGTTCATGATTATATCGCTGTACAGATCTTCCAATCCTGCATGCTTGGATTAAGAAAACTAAACCAGAGAAGGCCGCCGGACCGGACTGAGAAAATCAGAGTTCTTTTTTTATTTCGCGCGCAAACCCAATGCAAGTCCAAGATGAATGCAAAAACCTCCCCAACAACGCCTCGTCAAGAAAATATCGTATGCTCGCGTGGTGGAATCGTGGCGGACTATCGCAATGTAAATTCAAATATGGTGGGTAGATATCAGAGAAAAATGAAAGCGAAACCCGCTCAGTCGTGAATAGGGAAATAGATAGCCGAGTCTTTAATCAAAGCGGCAAGAAACGCCCAACGCGCTTATTATGGAAACCTCAGTAAACAAGTATAGAAGCTAAGGGTGTATATCAATGTCGTTACTTTCGTGGCGTACTGTAAATCGCATCCAGAAGAACAGGAAGGACGACTAAATGAGAAGCATAAGTTTCAAGCAGGCTTTGGAGCGTTCCGACTCCGGGTAAGTCGTTGACTTCGCCGTGGCTTCTGCTCTTCCGTAGCTTCGTTCTTCTGGCTGACAGTCTCGCTAGAAGCAGGTTTCTGCTTGGTTCTGGACTTCTTGTCCTTCTCTAGAACCCCAGTTCTATCGGTTCCCGAGTCGAAAGAATCACTTTCTGTCTGACTAGGAGATTCTCTAGCCGTCGCCTTTTCCGCGACCGCATCCGGGCTAACTCGTAGCCGTAGGGAAACCAAATCGTTCTGATCGTCCCGGAAGGCAATACCGACAGTGACATCGGGAAGAATTCGCCTTTTTTGGTCCCTAGCTCGGTTGCGCCGAGTAGCCGGCTGAGGATTATCCTCAAGTTCACTTTCATCTGCCGAGCGTTTACTACCTGTGCTGAAGGGGGACGAAGATCGTGAGGAGGGTTGAAGGCGAGACTTCATGATTGCCCTAGAGGCAGATGTCTCTGCTGGATGTGCACGGGTATCCTCGCCAAGCAGGTTTGTGAATGCTCTGTCGATGTTACCGCGACATTGTTGTAGCATTCCTACGATGGTGTCCCGGTCATACTTGCCACCGAGGCCGGCCTGGATAGCCGAGATTTTCCAGGGACTGGCCATATCCACGACTGTGGGCCCAGCTGACGATGCGTCTTTCTGAAGTGTTTGATCGGCCTTGGGTATACACGGTAAGCCCGTGTGCGGGCCTTCTGTGTGTCGCACGGAGGAATAGTGGTGGAAGTCCTATACAGATTAGAATGCCGTACACCGCTGGAAATAAAGCCAGTGCCTTACATGAAATGCAATATGTACAAGCTCCCTTTCTTCCTCATCTGAGGCATGGACGTCACGGAAGTTTTGAATGCCATACATGGTGTAGACATTGACGTCCCTTTTATATGACTGGCAGAATGCCTGGATCTCCTCTGCCCCTCCCCAGACGCCATTTTTTCGAGACTCTGCCACCTTGGAATCAAAGCTCCGTTCCTTATCCTTGGAGGACGGAGGTGCCGGGCTAGCGGATGAGGAGGAAGACGAACGGTAAGAATATCGAGCCGCCGAGGCAGCGGCGCGCCTAGGCGCCCTGCGTTCTCCACCGACGGCGGCAATGAAATTCATGAAGTAGTCCTTGTTTGCAGCAATGTGGTCTGCGAGACGAACCCGGATTTGGTCGGCATACGTGAAATCACCATAAAGTTGGTCGGAGAGGGCGTAGTATAGGCAATTGCCTGCGGGTAATAGTTAGAGACAGCAGGAAATCCAGAGATTATGAGTCCAATCGTCATTGTGAAAATGTGTATTGTTCGGATTGGAAGTCCAATGGCAAGGAAGAAATACCATCACCCTCAGTGGGAAGAGCATAGAGCCCTAGTTTATTGAGACAAGGTAGCTCCAGACATTCCGTCTCCGCATTTTTGCTGCGCGTGCTTTTTGATGATTTGGCCTGGGAGTGGGGCGGCAGCTTCTGATCTGATGGTTCGTCACTGTCTTCTTCTTGGGGTAGTTGGGGTGGTTGTGTTGTGAACAGTTGTAATGATCGGGGTTGATCGGCCACGGCCTCATCGGTAGGACTAATGGAGTAATGCTGATGGGCCTCGACTACGGGCACAATTCTGCCACCAGTTGGAACATCCGTCATGATTGAGTAGCTCTGCTCGACGAAAGACCCTCATTGGGGAGGAATACAGTCGGAGAGCTTCGTCGAGCAGAGGGATATAGAGGTCAAACAAGAAAAAGGAAAAAGAAACACTGATAACTTCAGTGAATGAGGAAAAGAGTTAAAAAAGAAAAAGAGAGAGGGAGGGAAAGAATACATTTTCTTTTCTGGTACGGGGAGTGCGGAGGAACACACGAAGCGGTCAGGCGGTGAAGCCCAGTTCCGCTAATTGATTGGACGACGCCACGTGCCTGTCTGTCTGATTTGAATGACGAAACAGACAAGACGCGACTATTTTTCCAAGGCGATGCCAGGAAGACCCGTTTTGTCTTGTATGTATGTTCCGTACTTACTGTACATATACTTCTCCTGTAGGTATTGAAGATTACTGTGAACTCGCCCGTGTGCACCTACAGAGTAAGTACTTCCTATTAATGCATAGATGTACCAGTGCCCTAATTCCCCCTCTGTAACCACAGCTCCCTCCTAGAAAGACTACTTGCCGCCGGCTTTCTCAACCAATCATGGTGGAGTCAATCGGTGATGATCCCCAACGGGCCACTTCTCCGCCGGGATTGCTGTCCTTGATAGATACTATTTAACTATGGCCCAATTCTAATCTCTTCTCTATACACTCTTCATTCCTTCCTTCGTTCTTCCTTGAAGTGAACAAGTCCCATAAACCACTGATAAAATTCTCCCGACGCAAAAGAATCAAGCCATGGTCACCAATAACATAGTGGTTCTGGGGTATCAATGATCCAACCCCACACCCTTCCCGATCTTCGGATCTAAGCTGATACCAAACTGAACAGAGCTGGTGTATCTGGACTCACCACCGCATATCTCCTGTCCAAAGATGCCTCCAATTCCATCACCGTGCTCGCCAAACATATGCCGGGCGACTACGACATAGAATATGCTTCTCCTTGGGCAGGTGCCAACTATCTCCCGTATGTTTTACAGGGGTAAACTGCTATACCATGATAGCTGTGAAACGTAAGCTCACCGATCACAGAGTAGGCAAAGCTGGTAGCTCCCATGCAAGATGGGAACGGAACACCTGGCCCACTCTCAAGGAGTTGACGGAAAAGTACCCGGAGGCTGGGATTCATTTCCAAGGTGGGTCATCTCTCTCTCCCCTCGTTCTACACCTCTTACTTTTCTAAACATACGGCATTAGATACGGTTGTCTATAACCGTACGAAAGACCAAGGTTCAGCAACCGGGGAATGGTTCTCGGAGTTGGTGCAGAAGGAGCCCTGGTACAAAGAGGTCGTACCTGACGTATGTGTACACTTCAAGCGTATACTGAAATGAGTACTCAACTAACCAAAGTCTTAGTTCCGCAACATTCCCGACAATGAGCTGGCCCCGGGTATAGACAATGCGTCGAAGTTTACTTCCGTCTGCATCAACACCGCAATCTACCTGCCCTGGCTAATTGGCCAATGCCGGAAGGCCGGCGTAGTCTTCAAGCGAGCCGTTTTCGAGCACGTGGCAGACGCCGCTAACGCTCACCACTCATACAAGAAAGCCGACGTGGTAGTCAATTGCACCGGTCTTTCATCCAAGAAGCTAGGTGGCGTTTGTGACGACAAACTCCACCCTATCCGTGGCCAGATCGTAGTTGTCCGCAATGACCCGGGCGCAATGTTCTCCATCTCCGGCACTGACGATGCTGACGACGAGATAACCTACATGATGACCCGGGCAGCAGGTGGCGGAACGGTAATCGGGGGATCCTACCAGAAGGACCAGTGGGATCCGCTGCCTGACCCCAATCTGGCCGTGCGCATCATGAAGCGGGCCGTTGCTCTCGTGCCCCAACTCGTTGGCAAGGGCCAGGGTATAGAGGGATTGGATGTTATCAGACATGGCGTTGGGCTACGACCTTTCCGTGAAGGTGGGCCACGCATTGAAACGGACAAGGTCAATGGGGTCTCCGTCGTGCATAACTACGGCCATGGAGGATTCGGATACCAAGCGTCCTTCGGCTGTGCTACGGAAGCGGTCGAGCTGGTCAATGGCATCCTGAAACAGAAGGGTCAGGCTAAGCTGTAATATCAATAGACGATCCAAATTTATATGCAGATTAATTACGTACATACCAACGAAACGCAACGGGAGACCAAATGAGAAAAATGACTGTATAATTCCACGTGTTCTAGAATAGAACTCTCCAAACTCTAAAGCGGATGATCAGCATCATCACGACGTCACCTCTAAACAGTGACTGATATATGTATATATATATAGATAGATAAATAGATAGATGTCTTCTCCCCAGTTTTTACCCCATGGCTTAATTCTCAATTGCTGTTGTTTCTATTAAAATATTATAACCTTGTTTCCAATCAAATTCCACCCGAAATGACGTATAGACCACCCAAAGTCGAAGAGGACTACTCCGATACATCCGAGCCTCAGAAGCGCAAGCGCGGCGAAAAATACCCAGAGTTGGAGCCCATAACCCCCGGGCAGGATTTCGAGACAGAGAAACAGCAGCCACCGAGCAAGGTGCCGAAGCCCGATGAGGCCCCAGCCGAGGAAGATGAGATAGACGCACAAGGAGAGGAGGATGACGAAGAGGAAGAAGAGCTGAGCGATGAGTACGAAGAGCCCGACAAGGAGACTGGTGGAGAAGGCGATGAGGAAGTAGAAGAGGAAAATGGTGAGGAAGAGCAAGAGGATAAAGTCACCGGCAACCTAGGGCCAAAGGTGCAAAAAGCTATTGACAAACTGGGTCGATGCCCCCTTGATGGAACAAAGATCGCCAAGGAGCCTCTTACAGCATCACCGGATACGCTTCTGGCTATGGTTATTGATGCTATGCTGAAGTCGCGACCAATTTCGCATGATTTGACACAGCGAACGATCGCGAAAGTCGTTGAAGCTGGGTATCATGATATTCACAAGCTGGGAAATAGTAGCTGGGAGGAGAGGACGATGGTTCTCAAGGACGGAGGATACAATCGGTATAGGGAGCAGGGGGCTACTAATCTGGGAGAGTTGGCGGAATTGGTGGATCAGAAGTACGGTACGTATGAGAAGAGCCCTTCTCTAGTTCTCATTGCTATATATAAAAACGCTTTATTGGCTAAGTCTGAGGGCAGATGGAGATCTCAATAATTTGTTGGAAGAGGCACATCACGACCGCGAACAAGTAAGGGAGCTCATCAAAGAAATCAAGGGACTTGGTGATCTAGGCGCCGATCTCTTCTTTAATAATGTGCAGAGCGTGTGGCCTTCGATTGCTCCTTTTGTTGACCGACGCAGCCTGCAGACGGCAGATCAAGTTGGGATTGGCACGGATCTGGATGCCATCTACGCAGATCTGAAACGTGACTCGATGAAGATGAGCAGGCTAGCTAATGGGTTGTCCACTGCAAGACTGGAGAAAAAGCAAGGAGAGCTTTTGGGTATTTAATCGTCTCCATTGAGATGTTGAGATATTGCATTTCTTGATTTCCCAGGACAGTTGATGTAGCGTAGGGCTACCAGTCTATCTGAATGGCCAATGAGCATCCGATGTTTAACTCTGTGGACAAGTGAAGAGAAGACAAATACCAACTCTCATACATTCGGGCTATGCTGCCAATCATAGAAAGAAGAGATTTGCTACGGCAATACCGCCATAATCGCTGTATAGTTTCTGAATTTCCACTTGGAAGACTGTTCCCTACCGTCAGTGGAACTGAGTTACGGCAATCCACAAACCCCAATTCTAGGATTCCATAACTTCAAATATCAAGAAAAGACTTAAGGCCCAGCCACTACATATCGGTTTGCTGATCAGGAGCCGCTCTATCGGGAAGTAACAGCAGCACAATGCCATCATGCGCCAGCATATCAGTCGCAGTCGACGCTGCCTACGCCTAGATAGTTATTCTAGCCGAGTTCGAAGATATACTGTTCATAGACTCGTGGTCCCTCTTCGCGCAGAAATCCACTCTACGCATGGAAAAATGTACCCACCAACACCACTCTCCAAATCATTACTGTCTGTACCTTTAGCTGGCGGGAACAATCTGTCGTGTTAAGGCGATGGGGATATTCGCTCGTGCGAAGATCCCCCTGTTGTGCACATTCCCCCGACGAGTCCTCGACTTCTACAGTCTAAGGGTTTTCACAAACCCCGTCAAGGAAGCCAAATTGTCTTGGCTTTCATCAATCGCACAAGACATCGAGAGATCCATCAAGGGAGCTGATGCCAGTGGTATGCAGGATCATCCCGTGTAGATTGCAGCTGGGAGTATCCCGCGGGCATGTCAACGATGATGTCTGTGACAAATGCCCACGGCCATATCCACAAGCCATATCCGCGGGAGTTTCGAAGACTGCTCAACTAGGGCAAATTCAATTTCGCTGCTATTCCTTTTCGGGAGCAGCTAGAGGCCATCACTCCGTAACACAGATATCCTAGCGAGAATGTATAGTGCTGGGTTGATCTACAGTGTCTTCTTACCACCACGGTCTGCTATAACAGGTATCCTACCGCTATCCTTGAATCGCAAGGGCTTTCGTAATATTGCCTCTCTCCTGGACCATTCACACTTTAGTACACAGGCTTCGAGATCACCTTCTGTCAAACGAAGGTGGCACGAGGAAGATATCTTTCCTGAGTAGGACAGATTCATAAACGTCTCCATAAAACCTATGTATAAAAAAGGGCAACGGAACTATGATGTAGTTTGATGAACTTTATAGATATCTAGATTTCTGATAGTACTCTTATTTTTCTTGTATTATCTCCTCGAAGGTCCCGGAGTCTGTTAATTTTTGTTACATCATGGATGTTAGTACCCTTATAGGATGAACCAACCCTGTTAAAAGAAACAGACGGTTTAAACTAAGCATAAGAACTAAAGCTTGGTTCCTCTTCGCAGGTATACTTATTATAGAATCCTATTATTAGTTGTAGAGTGGTAAGGTACCGAGCAATTAATAGTTAACACGAGGGTGATCATGGGCATGTCAATGTCTCAAGCATCAGTTTACGACTGTGCTAGAGGGCAAAGGCATATTACGGAGTATTTCATTAGAGTCAGATCCCTATGTAAGGCGAAAGGCGTCCAGATTGCTCTCTTACGGGTGTAATTTTAATAATAATAATAAATCCCCTGCCTCTTTTTACTTTCTTTCTACTTATATCCTCTTTTTAATCAAATGCAGAGCAACCCTTAAAAGCCAGCATATTGAATTCCGGTCTAGGCTGTGGGCTGCACATGGCCCCTAGCTTTGTGCTACCTTGATAATTTTTGTTGAACACATGTATGCCTGCGGGGAAAGAAATTACTGTATTTACTATTGACTCTTTGGACTTGTACTGACGATGATATCGTGCTGGCTCGTCCATAGCTGAAAGATTAAACTACCTAGTACGAACTCATCTCCGGAGCTCTACCTTTCAGGGCTTACATATTTGTGGCAAAGTGAATACGTGCCAAATATATGACAGAACCTGTATTACGACCGACATTGAAACATACCGTTGAAACCGGTAGTATCTCTTGAGAGCTGGCATTTAACGAACGAGCAAGGTCGAGTCAGGATGAGATAGGAGATATAGGTGCAAGAAGGTATGGAGTAGATTCTTAGAAAAGAGTTGAACGCCAAATAACCAAAATAATCAGTGACATTGAAAATGTATGAGCAAAAAAAATCAAGTAATGACCTTCTTTGGACCATTAAGGATGACTTGGAGAAGCAACCTGCGTAGTACTCCAGAATAAGGAATATATTGTAAATTAGAGTAACTTCTGGTTCCGTAACAACTGGAGATGTGACACTAACCGGGAAACGGCTAGCGTCGTTTAAGTCATCGACTGTTGGTCTTGGCAGACCCGCTGCTTGCGACTGCGGAGTCCTTGAGCCTCTCCGTCCTTATTTCTCTCCTCTTGACTCTTTTTCTGTTTTGCTTCTGAAGCTTGATTCCAGCAAGAGACTCTTCTCCCCTCTTTTGTAAGCCCTCACTTGATCCGTCTGTCAATCGAGTTGAGCTTAGGCCGCGCGATCGCTTGAGATCTTACTCTTACTTATCTATCAGCTACAGTATCATCTTCGCTTGCCTACCGCACGCGGGCCAGGCTACGAAATTCCCCGACTTGATTGTTGCTTCATCCCACTACAGATCTCATCCCAAGAAATCTGCGAGACTCCTCGCTCCCGAATCCATCTCTCAATCCTTCCATTCCACCTCACTACCAAGTTACCGCTCTATCCGCGTCTCCGACGACTCGATTGCGTAGACCCAAGGAACTTGTCCAGCTCGCAAAGTCAAAATGGATCTTTCTAATATCTTGTATGTGCCCTGACTCATGTCTTATGGGTGTTTCAGGCTGCGTGGATTGGGTTAGGGACTGATAATCTGCAGCCGACTTGTCAACATCGCCGTGGGTGTGATCATGGTTCTGGGCGGTATCTCCCAGTTCTTCCCTCCGTCCATGAGCTCCATCATTGTTGGTGGATACGTGATCATTTTCGGTCTTCGTAAGGCAACTCTAGTTTTCCACCCGTTGGCTTGTGGACACTGATGTTTTGCTGCTCATTAGTTGTCGCTGGGCTGGAATTCCTGCCCAACGTTCCGGACTATGTCTACCGCTACGCTTCTTTCCTCTTCTCTTTCCTTGGCCGCGGTATTTGTAAGTCTTCTCTCTTCTCTGCATCCTCACTTATTCGTCGGGCATTGACCAATTGGTTAGTCTACATCTTCGTTGGTTCAATCCTGCTGCACGACCACGTGTTGCGGTACATCGCTGGTTCTATCATCGGATTCATCGGCGTGGGCTACTTGGCCCTGGAGTTCATTCCCTCGATCGAACCCCCGTCGAACATGCGCGAGAGCGACCAGGGCTGGGGTGCTGAGCAGGTTTAAACGCGCCGGATTGATATTTTTCGGGTGACGGGGATTTTTCATAGCGAACGAATTCAGGATGGCCTACACCGATTATTCCTCGTTGTGTAGCCCTACCGATACCCAAAAACCGTACGTGCCGTGGATAGAAATGGAGGGGTCAGATGCATGGGTAGAGAGATGAAAAGTTTCTTTTCTCCTATGCGATGTGCGACGATCGACGAGTGCGATGAATATCTATGCGATGACTAAATGGATGTGCGGTTCGCAAAGATACGAGGATCTTAGCAGGCTAGTAGACCAGGTGGGTTATGGTTATTTGCCTGCCCGTGAGAGAGTGAATTTAAGTTGGATAATGTTTTTTTCTTTCTTTCTCGAGTCCAACTCTGGACGAACAGGTTCATACTTTTGTTTCCCCTCCCCTTGTGGAACTTGTACTATAGGTGGTTTTCTGTCCCTTCTGGTGGCCTCAGTTGCTTGACATTAAGGTTATGGCCTGGTACTGTAGTGATCTGTCTACGTGAAGACACCCGTGATATCAAACGTCATTTAAAATCATAATCTCATGTTTTTCTCGAGCGATGCTTGCCTGTGTGATCAAGAAAAATGGCAGAAAGCAAGAAAGAAAAAGGTAGAGGAAGAGAGGCAAGGCAATCTCATGGAGCGGTACAATACATAGGTTCGTTGAGTATCAGTTGATAGCGTACAACTTAATTATGCCACATTTTCACAAGCCGGAAGTATAAACGGGTTGGAACGCGTCAGGCTATGCGAACCTATAAGCGAAACGACAGGTCATCAGAGGCGTACACGGTCATGATCATTCTTCCAACGCCTATTCAGTCATATGCGCATGTGCTTTGACATAAATTAGAAGAGAATCACACTCTAGATTTCCCCTAACATTCACCAAGCCACTCATTCTACACATCTCAAAGGATAGATCTTACAAAGAATGAAAAACATGAGAACAAAACATCAACAAGGTTGAAATCTCACCACGCGTCAAAACGTAAGAAGAAACCCTCCCCCTAACCTGTAAATCTGCACTACTTCCACACTTAGTGACATCCTCCCCACCCCCTCATAAACCCCAGGACTGATCTAATGCAGGGTTATTTGTTAACTCCCAACCACCAAGAATTTTTATTTACTAACTTGAATGTCGAACTAAAAACTTAGTCTACGCCACGAACGGACTATTACGAATACGTAGATTGACTCGATTAGCGTGCATCATCTCGTCTGGTGATACGAGATACGAAATCAGGGGTGCGTGAGTGATGTCACTTCTCAGTTGGAGCGAAAAAAAAGGCGCAGACTTTACTCCGTCAGAATCAGTAAATAGATTTACTCCGGTCGATCGGTAGATTAGATTCGGAGATAGCAATTCCGGATCGATCGGGGATATATTTGTGACGACCTTCCGTTCGGGGAGATTTATGTCCGATTATTGCGAGTCGGAGGTTACGGAGTATTCAGTTTCAAAGTGTACTCGGGATTAGATAATGAATTGGGCTTGGGGGTTGTTGCGTGAGCTTGACTCGGGTTGAGGTAGTACCCGCGTACGTTCGGATGGGAGTTTGGATCGTAAGGTGCTGAGGTTGCGTTGTTGTTTTTGTTGTTGTTGTTGTCATATTGGTTAATCTCCTGATAAATCACACCACTGGTGCGGAGGAGAGAGGTGATCTTGCAATGATGGGTATTGTGATGGTTTGGTTTTATCAGTGAATATATTTATGGGACTCGTCGTATTCACGTTTGGGGATCAGATCATCATGTTATGTATCTACTTCTTCATAATGATGATTATCAAAGAAATTAAAAAGAAAAAAATGTGGTACTTTTGTTGTTCTAGGCCACTGTGGGTGGGAAAAAGGGACAAAGTGTCAAATTCGGAAACGGGCGCCGAGGGAAAGAGAGAGAGAGAGAGATTATCAATCATGAATTAGGAACTGGTACGGGGCGAATCAGCGATAACCCGTGAGGCGCTGCTGATGACGTGTGGGCCAATCATGGAGGCGAGAGATCTTTCGGTTCTGGCCGTCTCGCGGGACAAGATAACAATAGTTACCGAACTAGTATTTGCTAACTTTCCCTTCCTATTAACTAAATCTTGTTTCGAGGTCCTTTTAGTGACCGGTGGCTAAAGTCGGCCTGAGCCGAGGGAGAAATCTTCAGAAGGGATCTATTGGGTGGAGATGGTGATAGATTAGAACGTCAAGAAGGACATAGAAGGGATGCGACGGTCCAATGATCGATGCGAAAAAGATGCTGACTGGGAAAGAATTGGAGTCTCGGCAAATCATGGACAAGGGAATCAGGCTTATTTCCATGACCGACACGCTAGGTACCGTTCTGGGAAGGCGAGTACCCACTAGACCCAGTGCGTTAAGCCTTATTAGGTAATGGTGGAGCCAGATGATACGATCTGGGGAGAAGCAGAGCAATCATGATGGATGGGAAAATTAGAAAAAAGGGAAGGAAAAATAAAAAGAGAGGGTCGGGAATGAAAGGTGACCTTCTCGAGGAAAATCCAGACAGAGTTTGTAAAACACTTCCTGAGCTCAACAGAGCTATCGGTTCCTCAACTTTACTTTGGGCAAAAGATAAAACAGAAATCACTGCAGGGGAATACGCAAAACTACGACGCGAGAAAGGCCGGTGTAGATCCTTTTTCCCCCCTGGAGATCGATAACGAGGTCTTCTCGATAAGACCATTCAGTGACCTTCAGGCAACCAGAATTAGAAACGACAGGTTAGTAAGTTTCTTTTTTCTGTTGGTTGGAATTTCTCATCTTCAGATTTCAGCATCTTCATTACCCACTTCCCTTCTTTCTCCCATTTTCTTTCTTTATCAATCAATCGATCTCATTCTACATCTTCCTTTCCCTTCCCCCCTTTCAATCTCTTCTGGAGAAAACCCGTGTTCTTTTTTGTCGTCCTTGATTTCTTATACTTTTTTTTTTGATTTTATTATTTCTTTCTTTCTTTTTTTTTTT